AAACAAAGCACAGGCGTAGCTAAAGAAAATATCAGAAGGAAGATCACAAACTGAGGGGACGGTGAGAGTCGGTGGAGCAACAACGCAAGATCAAGCGATCATAAATTGAGGAGCGGGAAAGGGGCCAGGGTAGAGTGACAACGCGGGGAAGCCTTCACAAACTGAGGAGCGATGACAAACTAAGGAGCGGGAATGGGGGGTGGGGTGGAGCAACGACGTGGGCTAGCGTTCACAAACAAGCGGCGAGAGCATCAAAGTAGCCGGAAGTCATTCATTTTCAATGAGAACCGATAGCGAGGAGCAGCGCGGCGCGTCTTCTCCTGTGTGGGCGTCGAGGAGGACTTGAAATCAAGTCAACTTTATGGTAATGAGCTATGATACGGTTCGGCAGCAATCAGAATGAAGTAGTCCATCGCTTGAGAGGAGTTCAGAGAACACAGACCTGTGAACTTTGGTTCCGACCACAGTTGTTCCCAGGGGTTTAATTAAGGTGGTTGCCGGATTTTGAATTATTGATAATCGGAACGACGCGGGGCCCCCTAATTACGCGGGGCCCCCCCGCGGTACGTGCCCTGCGGGCCCGCCCTCTACGCCACTGAACATGTGTACTGAGCTGCCAGCCCAGTGCTCTGTCTCTAGTGTATCTGGCCTCTGTTATTGCTCTGTTTACACACATTGTACTTTAAGATGATTGTAGTGTAGTTTAGTGTAGTTTCATGTCATTCCAGAACTAAAATGGAAGAAAATTAAATAAAGAAAGAAGTTTCTGATTTTGGTGTGCATCGATAACAAGGATTTTATGCAAGATGTAATTTTTTATTTGAATTTGCAGATCTTAATAAGCATAAAAGGCTGTTATGAAAGCAAAAATGTCTTTGTATGGTTTTGGTTTTGTGAAATTTAATATAGAAATGTGATTTAATATAGATAGTGTAAGTAATGTGGCCCTGCTAACAAATCATTTCATTGGTAAATTTATATAATAACAAGTATTTTGTCATATAGTATATCATAACATTATTCCAAAAATATCTTTCATATGAGACCCCTCAAACCTGAATTTGAATCACAGGGCTATGGACTGGACAGAAGCTGTGCACTGGTATGACTCCGCCCTAAAGATGACAGACTATGACGAGGGTGGAGAGTTTGACGGGATGCAGGATGAGCCACGATACCTTCTGCTGGCACGTCTGGCTGAGATGTACCAGGAGGGTGGAAACAACCTGGATGCAGACCCTCAAAGAGCAGGTGAGCGAATCTCAGGCTGCAGTCATGAACACAGTGACAGTGGTTCTGCTGCAGAAAATCAGAGGTACAATTCCATATAATCATTCGACAGATGATGTTACCCAGCTCGTCTTCCAAATGATGATAAAACAAATAATCAAAGAAACCAAAAAACAATGTAAATTTTGAATTTTATATTTATTTATTTTTTAAATAGACATTATCATTAATTTTTTTCTTCTTCAGCTTAGTCATTTATTTATCACGGGTCGCCACAGCGGAATGAACCGCCAACTATTCCATCATATGTATCACGCAGCGAATGCCCTTCCAGCCACAACCCAGTATTGGGAAACGCCCATACACACTCATTCACAGGAAACCCTCGCGAACACGGGAAGAACATGCAACCTCCACACAGAAGTGACAGCTGGCCCAGCTGGGACTCGACCAGTGACCTTCTTGTTGTGAGGCAACAGTGCTAACCACTGAGCCACCTTGCTGCCTTTAATATACATTATGTACAATAAAAATGTGCAGCATTATACTGAAGATTTAATACTGGAAAGTATAATAACTGTCCCACCAGATTTTTGAATCTGCAATTAAAGAATGGAATATAAACTAATCGAACTCTTTTTTAGTGACAAATCTAAATGATATATTTCTTAATAAAATTTATAATTCAGACAAGTCAAATTAATCCAGTATATAGGGAACAGAACACATAGGAAATCAGATTTTGTACATGGGCTTTAATAAAAAAAGTTTCCACCAAAAGGCTTTGTCTTGAATGATAGACTGGGTGATATTTATTGTGTTTTTTGTATTTAGGATTGAAACATTCAGTTCTGATGGTATGTTGATGCTAATAAACTGTTGAGCCAAATATTTGTCTGCCCCATAATACCAGATTCCATCAGTATGCTAGGTTTGATTTAAACAAGCACACAATTTGTATTGTGGATACAACATTTCTTGTACACGCCATCACTAATAAAGTTGTGGGAAAACAACAAATATATGACAACAGTGAACAATATTTTTTCAAATTGTAAAAATGTGAAATAATCTTAAAAAGTGCAGATAAGGGACCCTATTTTAACTATCTAGGTGCAGAGTCTAAAGCACATGGCGCAAAAGCATTAAGGGTGTGTCTGAATTCACTTTTGGTATTTTAAGACCGGAAAAAATATATAGTGTGCGCCACAAAACATGGTCTAACAGTGTTGTGCTTATTATCTTAATGAGTTATGGGTGTGTTTTGAGCATATTGGGCATTAAACCAATTTCAGTCTCATCTCCCATTCTTTTTAAGAGTCATTTGCATAGCGTCAAGGCGCATTTGGTATTTACATGGCCACTTTGTAAGTGGAAAAACAGAACGCTTCACTAGTGAGAAAACAGTTAAACAGACCATAAGAATGAGTGTCCTCTATTAGGCCTCTTTACTTTCTCTTTACTTTACTTTTACTCCTTACTTCTTTACTTTCATAGAATGAGGAAATGGTGTTGTATGTACTCCACGGAAGCCATTTAATAGCCTACATATTTGATTTAGTTTGTAAAGCGCAAAGATTTGTTTTAAAACTATTTCTAAATTCAGTTTTAATTTACCAGCAAACTAATTAGTGAACAATAATAACAAAGTGTGGTCAAAAAACTATTCTTATGCCCCATATAGTGATATGTACATCTTCAAAACCTTCTTCAAAAACATCTGGACAAATCTAAACTTGTTTTGTTAAATGTGTAAGCATTAAGGCGCACAAAATAACACGCTCTGTGCTGGACTTCTATTGCGCCGTCTATTTCAGTTCCTCAAAATAGCAACGCGCCAACGATGTGCCAAAACACACTTCCTTTACAGACCAGAACACCCATGAGTCCACAAAGTGGCCAAAGGGATGTGCTATTTAAAAAATGGCGTGCAAAATGGGAAAATTAAGGTTGCACTGGTCTGTAAATAGCAACACATCGCGCCAAACATGTCTTGCACCTTATTGCGCCAGGTGCATGATAGGGCCCGAAAAGTGACAAACTCAAATCGTTTTTATACAATTTTGTATTTTCTGCAAACAGAACTCTGAATTTGTCTGTGAGAATATGTCTGTGCCTTGCGTATTGGGGACCAGAATCCCAATTTCAGTAATTATGCACAAAAGTAAGTGTACTCTTTGAATGCATTGTATGTGTGTGTGAGTAATAATGTCTTTACCTTTAATAGGAGATCTTTTCACTGAGGCAGCTGACGCAGCAATGGAGGCCATGAAGGGCAGGCTGGCCAATCAATACTACATGAAAGCAGAAGAAGCATGGGCTATGATGGAAGAATAAATTAAAATGATTTACAGATTGATCAAAATGGTTTATATTTTACACCCAGACTGTTTACATGCTGTTTTCAATGCCTTGGGTTCACCTGACTTAAGAGAAATAATGCTGAATCTGGATCAGTCTTTTAATGAATGTGACAAGGGCATATGCTGATTCAAAATAAGTGCTATACTAAGGTGCTAAACCTGCATATTCATTTTTTTCCCACAAAGAATAGTTGCTCAGCGTCTGCTGCATGTTTAGATTGTTTTGTGGGAATTTGGGATATATGCATTATCTGTCATTAATTTCAGTTTCTTGTTTCTAAAAGGACAACTGGATGTTCCCTTAATATTGTGACTGTTAAAAAAGGACATCACTTATGATTTAGCATACTTGTGTAAAATGTATCTGCTAGTAATGGTAGATGTGCTTTATAAGGGTTTTACGAGTTGTGATTTTTAGCCTGTTTTGCGTGGATGGCATCTAAAAATAATTATTATAATCATAATTCATTATTTTCAAAGTGTGTGATCACTTTTGCTGGTAATTTTTTAATCCGAAAAAATAAATTATTTAAAATTTTAAAAAATAATGTCTCAATGTGTCTGTTTAATCAAAAACATGAATTATCTCTATGGACAAAGATATAATTTCACATACATTAACTACACAAACCAATAAACTGATTGATAAAGTTTCAGGCATAGACATCCAGCAAGCTTAACGTTTCATGTCTCAGCACAAACATAAAAACCAAAATGATTACAATAATTTAAATGCATAAACAATTATGATAGCAGCATAGAGCCAGTTGATCTTTGTCAAAAAAATCTTAGGGACTGCACTTTTGATTATGAATATTATATATGCAGTTAAAACGTGCAGGTCATTTTGTTTGACGAATACTCAAGTATTATATTTAAATAAGTATTTAAGTAGTATTAAGTATTATATTTAATGAGTTACATCATATTAATAACTATCATTATTTTACGTAGGCTTTTGTAATAACCAGTAAATTTGACTTTATTTTTATGTATGTTTCAGTTTTTACTTTGTTCCGTCTTCTTCAACAATCTGGGGCGGGTCATGTGTAGTTTAAATGAGCGGTTGCACATTTAACATGATTTCATTGGCCACATTTACCGTCATTCTACGTCATCGCCAATTTCTATTGGCTACAACAAAAGTCAATGGTTGATTCTGACCAACTAGAAGCCTACGCGCGGAATTTTGAATAGTGTTCAAACATTAACTGTTCTCCGCCTCATATCCGTCCGCAGTTTGACAAGGAAGGTAGTCCCTCAATTTTATGAAGTAGTATACGCTAAATTTTGTTTTCAAACATCGTGTATACTGTTGCATTTTTATATGCTTTGTACAATTTTTTAAAATCAAAGTAAATAACTGTAAGTTGTTTTTAATGTTTTTGCGGAGGGATATTTTACGGTCAGACGAAATGGCAACACGCGCTGCTTCTTGTGTCTGTGGATAGTGTTGTTAATGTTAGTGCTAGTAAGAGCAGCTAGTAACGGCTGGAGCGATCAGTGAGATATCGATGGAATATATTTTATTGTTTTGATCTACGGAACCTCAGGTAAAGTCATGCTTAATCCTCGGATAACGTTACTATTTAGCTACTTCCTAATTCTATTTCACAAAGCGTTAATGCGCTGTCGGGAGACGAGTTGTTTAGCAAACTAAACGTGATCGGCAACTGTTGGCTTTATTTTTCATTTAGTGTGGCCACGGATATTTTGGCAAATGTTTGATTTAAGTTCACAGAAGTAGTAAATAGGGAACACGCAATGCTACCAAACACCCAAATAAATAATGAAACTATCAATAACGTTACATGACTATAGACATTTAAGTTGTAAATTGGCTGTTAACGTTATGTATATTTTTAAATGTTTTATGGTCATTGTGTATTTAAATGCACGGGTTAATGCAATAATAATTAACGTTTTATAGAAACTGCATTAACTAAGTTTATTTAAAGCTCTTTGTTAGTAACGTTATTGATGATCAGCGTGCTGGAAGTTCAAGAAGCGTTACAATGCTCCATTTAACGTCATGTCTATGAAAACTCAAACAGTTAACATATGTATTGTTTCTCTTGTCTTTTGTTTGGTGATCAAGGTAAGTTTTAATATGCCTTTGCTGGGAAAGATTGTGGTGATCAAGAGAAATGGAGGAGATGGCACCGAATTCCCCCTCACTGCGTCCTGTCTTTTCGGAAGGTCAGTAACACGTTTTATAGTCATCATGGCTTGCATTAAAGGGTCACGAAACACCAAAACACATTTTTTGAGCTATTGACAGTCGTATATGTGTCCCACACTGCTAAAAACACTATTAGGACACCTATATTTCACTAAAAAGTGTAAATTGGTTGTTTTTGCGTTATTTCAAGCAAATTCGTACTTCCTGTTTGAAACGAATTTTTGAAGCTGCGTCACGGTCATGACATAATAGCGTTGTATTCCAGCGTGCAGACTGGGCGTCTGTGCCAGAGTGTGCCTTATTACGTCTTACAGTGTGATGCATTAATGCATGAGTAAGCCTTGGTTCAAACCAATCAGCGCGCTCTATTGTGCAACTTCATTAATATTCATTAGTGTCACCGTCTTTACACCACAGAGACGCCACGTTGTGTTGGCAAAACAAGCGTGAAGTGTTGCTTTTAAATTTTGCTGCAGTTAAGTTTCGTTTTCATTTTCTCTCTGTGAGAGCTCAGACTCACGTGTGGATTAACAGTGTACGCGACGCGCGACAACAATAACTTACGTGTCTAAGGAGGATTATTGTTTACCTGAGAGCTGTTCTCATCTGCAAACGCTGAGATCCGGATTCCGGATGTAGTCTTCTCTTCAGACGCGGCTCTAGTTGCTGGTGATTGTTCTGTCTCTACAGATTTGGTAAGTGAGCGACCAGCGCTCTTTGTTTATTCAGTTTGTTCGTATCGAATTAAGTTAACTATTGCACTGAGGGCAAACATGTTAGCACCGCATTTTGTGACCGGAATAACACACGCGGCTTTCTGACGTTACCTGCCGTGTGCGTCTAAGTTTCCGGGAAATGTGGAGTTTTTTTCTGTCATTCGCCGTGCGGTATCAAACATTGCATGAAAAATACACGCTTAGAGCAGATCCTCGAATCAAATATCGTGTTTGTCGCGAGGGACATGAATGAATTCCCTGAATGAAAGAGCCAAACTGCAGTTAAAGTCCACCAGTTAATAATTTGGCAAATAATTCCACTACAGATGTCCATGTAGGTTAAACATCATCTCTTTCTCCTGTGTGTGTATTTTGACTGAAACTCGCGCGTGCCCAAATAGACACTCCCACACCCTCCCACTTTAGTTCCTCCGACACTCCCCCCAAACAGAGCTGGACACCCCCACTTTTCTGACTTTTTCCAAAGTGGAGGTGTGAAAACACCCTGCTGAAACGAGGGGGTTTCATGGCCCTTTAACGTTTACTTCGCTGTATTACTGCTGAAAATGTCAACATTCGTGTAATGTAAACGTCATATACATTGAGGTACCTTTGAAAGTAACTAAATAAGGCTACCAATATGTTACTCTATTTGTAAATGAAGTGTGTAAGAGTGTATAATATTTAAAACGTAAACGTTTGTTTAAACGGTTAGTGACACAAAGAACTTTTTTGGTACATGTGCGTTAACGTTACTCCTTTGCCAGGCGGTCTTTCGTTGATGTCATTTGACGTAGACAATCCCTTGAGCCAATCAGAATGCGCTATTGCGAATTTACACAAACCATATGCACTCCATGTAATTTGGGTAAAGTTTGTTTTACATTCGTTCATTTTTGACCAGTGACAGTTTGTGACATGCCACTTAAGTATTGAATATTGAGTCTGAAACTGCATGCAAGTATGACTTCAAGACAACATAAGCACTATTTAATTGACTGTGAGCAATGTTGAACTTTAGTGGTTATTGACTAATTGGATTTCCAAAGAATACTGTTCCGAAATTATACTTGGAAGCTGAAAGTCCAAATGTGCAAATATAACACTTATTTAACTTTTTACAAAAACAATTTGCCTCAATTTTCATGTAATTATGCTACAGTGTTCTTGCTAAATATTTAGTTATGTCTTAATATGTGTACAAATAAGATAACGATGTGAAAGAAGGGTTTAAATGTGCCTGGTGTAATAGTAATGCATGATCATAATTATATCATGCTGGAATAAAGGATTTTGAATTATTCTAGCAATCAAAGACTAGGAATAGGGTGTCTACAAAAACACAATTATTGCAACATGCTTTGCAAGAATAGCCTATTTAAACATTTGAATTATTGTATGGTTAAACTAAAAATCCTTAAATTTGTACAAGGTTTTTACCTTCTTTCACCTCCTTTCCTTTTTAGGAAGATGGACTGTGATATTCGGATTCAGCTGCCGCAGGTATCGAAAGAGCATTGTAAAATTGAGCTGAATGAGAACAAAGAGGTAATAATGTTGTTACATTATAAGTTTCCTTATTATGAAAGAACTAATTTTCCACAGCAGTCATTAATTTAATTTTTCCTCTCTTTTTTCAAGCTCATTTTGACCAATTTGAGCTCTGTGAACCCAACACGTATAAATGGACAAGTCTTTAATCAGTCAGAACGTTTAAAGCATGGTGATTTAATAACAATCATTGATCGTTCTTTCAGGTTAGTTTATTTTTTTGATTATTATTATTATTTTTTTAATTTTGTACATTTTTATAATGCGTTCATGTTTGTAATAATAAAAAATTCCCTGTCAGTATAATCTAATGTTAAAAACCTGTCAATGTCAGGTTTGAGTACCCACCTCCTAAAACACCGAAGAAGAGGCTGTCTGGAAAAGACAAAACTGTTCAGGTGAGTACTTAATGCGAGTCTTGCAAGCAGATGATGGGTATTTTTAATTTCTAGTTTGTTACTATGTTGTTACATTTTTGTTCTTTATTGTAGGCTTTGCAAGAGCAGCAGGAAAAAGGCACACCTGTGCCTGTGGAGAAGAGGAAGTCAGAGCATTCCTTTGGTTGGTCATTTATGTAATTTTATTGTCTGTAATGCAGGGGTGTAAACTTGTCACTTTTTGGCATAATTTGTCAATTTCACCTTGAAATAGGTCATTCGCGTGACTCGTCCTGAACTAAATTAAGAAAAATGGAGTGGAGGAGCGGGGGTCTAATTGTAATTGCAGTGATATAAATATCAACATATCAGTCAGAAGGCTCATAAATAATTTCGATTTGCCTAAATTCATTCATTCCCTGTTGACTGAGTTTAGACAAAGACTGTAGGGACTTTGGTTTCGAATAAATTTGGTACATGCTACATTTAAAACTTAAACAGAATAAGCACACAGGTTTCGCTCTGTCTTGATAGCACAGTCTTTATCAGAATCTCAGCACATCTGAGACTTTGTAAACTCTATCAGACTATAAACTAAGCATAAAAGGACCTGATTGAACAAGAACTTCATGTTTTACTATATGCAAACAGAGAACACAAGAGGGTCTCACTTACACAGAGAATTGACACATGTAAATAAGATGATTTTTTTATTTGGCATGAGTAGGCCCACACGGAATCTGCGCGCAGAATTCCGCAGATTTTTAGCCCATCATTAATTCTGTTTATTTACTTGAGTAAATATGTAAATCTGAATTTATTCAGTTTTTATTCACTAATGTATTACTTTTTATTATATATATTAAGGTTTTAGTTATGATACTCCGCTGGATACTACCAAAATAATTCTGCAGAAATCTGCAGATTTTTACCAAAATTCTTCGCAGAAATGGCAAAAAACGTCTGCAGATTCCGTCTGGCCCTGGGCATGAGCAGTAATTCAAAGTCTAATACTTAAATATTAACATCTGCATTTTAACTAAACACAGACAGCATGAGCATTCAGAAGACCGACAGGTTGTCAGTAGTAGCAGTATTTATCAAAGTAATTTAAGATCACAGTGCAAAAATGAATACACTCCAGTGAATATATTAGGGAAAAATAATAAATAAAGTTAGAGGAAAAGTCAATAAATCCATAGAAAACCTAAAATTTACCTGTTTTTTTTTAATGGATGTGTATCTTACTGTTCCTTAATGTTGAGTTATTAATTTTAATGAATATGTCTGTAGTAAAATCTGTTTTTCTATAAAATATTGTCTATTTGCTGAGAAATGCAAGATGAAATGGCTAAAGTCTTAAATGTCCAAATTGCAGTTTTTCTTGCTCATGTTCACTGCTTCTGCTCTGTATAAACAATGCTTAAAACATTCATATTTTAGATTGATGTTAAAATTCATATTAATTTGTTCATATTAATAATTAGTGCATAATTAATAATTATTCTTATCCCCATGTGGCCCAACAGTTAATTGATCATCGAGTAATCATTAGCATCAATGTTGTATATTTTTTTCATGCCTGACGAGTTTGCACACCTCGTAATTTTTTTAAAAATTTATTTATTTTACTTTTTGCTACACTTTAATCTCATCATCTGTCATGATGTGCTTGCAGACACTTGTTTAAAAGATGGTTCAAACTTGCCACCTACTGTGGAACAAACTGCCGAGGCAGAGCCAGAAGATGCCAAACTTAAAAAGGAAAGTATGTCCCCTTTTTGTGAGCTCTACCAAATGGTCAAACAAGACCTTGTTGCTAAATCACCTTGGAGGTCAGAGCAACCCAAAACACCTCTTGCAAGGTCTCAGCGTCATGAGGAAAGTCTCACTGCAGATGCAAAGAGTACTCCTAAACAGCTCACAACCCCTTCTACCAAGAAGCGAAGATCCTCAAAATCCAGTTCTGATGATGCTACTAAATCAACAACCCCTCAGAGTTCATTTCATACAAATCTGGAAGATGTTACCTCTGCAGGTGTCAAAAGTACGTCTAAACAGATAACGCCATCTGCCAAGAAGCGAAGGTCCTCAAAATCCAATTTTGAAGAAGCTACTGTACTAGCTACTCCTCAGAGCTCAGCTAATGCAAATCTGGAAGAGAAATCTTCTGATGATGTGCAGTCTGTAGGGTGTAACACCCCGTCAATGACAGAGAAAAGTACAACTCCTGTCTCCCAGAAGAGAACACCCTCGACAACGCCACATAAGTTTAGTGCTGGTGAGGTAGTCAAGCAAATTCTCTTGGAGCCACAAGCTGAGAATACTCCCAAGTCCCCTAAAGGAAGGCGAAGTGGTGGGTCACAGGATCAGAACCAGCCTCAGACTCCAGGCACAAATGGTAAAACCAGTGAAGTGAAATTGTCACCCAGAACATCTCCAAGGTCAAATGCTGGCAAAAGGTTTCAGGCCCAAGATGTTCCGCAGGAGAATAAGGCTGCAACATCAGCTTCTAAAAACAAAGGTGAGACTGTTTTTTTAATTTATTATTATTTCTTCTCTTTTATGGATTTGTCATTTTGTGATGTTCACTATTTTGGGATAAATAGAAAATGTTTGCTGCTGTCAATGATAATTAGTTCATTTGTTTTGTCCTAAAGCTGACACTTCAATTAATGGGCAGCTTCATGGTATTAAATCCCATACAAAAGTGGTTGTCCCTCAACCAAAGAGGAAGCGAGTGTCTTTTGGTGGTCAGTTGAGTCCAGAGCTTTTTGACAAACGCCTGCCACCCGATTCCCCCCTTCGCCGTGGAGCAACTCCAAGACGCAGTTTGGGACCTTCCCAGAAATCCCAGTCTCTTTTACGAAGAGCATCCACAATTGGTCTTTTGGTAATGTTTAAAACTTTTAGGTTTGGTTTACCAATGTTTAATATTTGTTACCATTGATGTTTCTAACCTGCTTACAAACCTTTTTAACTTGCTTATTTTGTCTATTTTAGGCTCTTCGACTTGATGAAATCACCACAGGGGCCCAAAAAGCTTCACCCAAACGGTCAGTGAAGACTCCATCACCTGCCAAAAAAACGCCTATTACCAAGGCTAAAACTCCATCACCAAAGCAAAAATCACCATCTACTGTAGCCAAGGTATCTACACCAACTCCTGCTACGCCCAAGACACCTGCATCTGCTAGAAGAGCATCAACTTCAGCAGTTGAAGCTGCAGGTGACATATCTTTAACTGGTACACCGAGAGTGCAGGGGCGGTTTTCAATCTCTCGCATCAGTACCCCATCACCTGTCCAGGAGGAGAAGGCTGAAGCGTTTTTAGATGTGCCTCAGAAATATGCAACACCAGAGATACCGTTAAAGAGGCAGAGCATGAAATCTTCTGGCAGAAAAACTCCCAAGAGTGCACTTAAAAGTGCGCTTAATGTGATGCGTTCAAGGCGCAGCGGAGCATCGCGGGCTAATCTTAAAGGTAAGGATGGACACTTTATTTTATATTTTATTATTTTAAAGACTAAATTTATGTATATTTATTCATTATAAATGTCTGTTTTTATATATTTTTTTAAGTGTTGACCTCTTGGGCTGATATTGTGAAGTTTGGTCAGACCAAACCTCAAATAGAAGTTGCAACTAACAAAAAACCTACAAAGAACAACGTGGTCAGGAGAACTGTTGCTCCAAAACCAAAGGTAAAATAAAGTGGATTTTTTTGTTTTGGGTTAATAATTTGTTCAACGAATTACTGAAAAACTTGTAACTTACAAACTGCATTTAATTAACCATGCAGACACCTTTGCGGAGGCTTAAGAATGATGTCAGCACTGGGCATGCAGCATCTCCTGCAACCATTGTCGTTGGCAAAGCCCACATGAGAACGAACCAGTTTGTTGGTGCTGCACCTAAAATAGTCCCCAACGTGGCACTATCCAAGAAAGACATGAAAATGGATGAGGATTTTACAGGTTTGTTTAGTGTTGAATATAGCAGTTTATGTAAGGAATTAGTTCAGACTTTAAATGCTGTATATGTCTTAGGTGTTGCAGACATTTTTAAGACACCAGCCAACAGCAAGTCTAAGAAGCTTCTTGTCCAGAACAATGATGAATGTCCAGAGGTCCTTCCAGATGAGAGTTCAGTGATGAAAACACCAGAGGAATTGGGTAATTATTTTAGTCATGTGCAGGTTTTTTTTTTTTTTTTTTTCGCCCATTATTGCAACTGTTTTATTTCTTTCATTGTGCGGGATTTATATATTCATTCAATTTATATATTTTTTATATTAATTTCTGTAATTATCTTATATGCAAATGTGTATGGTTAATTAAAATTATTCAACAAAAATCTGCACATTTTAAGTAATATATATTTTATTTTTTACTTAACAAAATTCTGTTCAGCAAGAGCAAAAATGTCTGCAGATTCTGTCTGGCTCTGGCTATTTGTAACCTATTGTACAGAGTTTAGATGTCACTGATAGTTGTGCATTTTTTTTTTTTTTTTTTTTTTTTTTTTTTTTTTTTTTTACTTCTGACACAGGTGAAATGATTGTATCTCCCTTAAGTGTTGTCTCCACTGCCAAATGTGGGAGATACAACAGTGAGGCAGTAACGAGACTTCTTCTGGACAATCAGGATGATAGTTTAATGGAAGATGAAAGTCAGACAAGTAACAAAGACAACATTTCAGATCTAAAAATCCCATCTCTTGACCAAACAGAGAAAGAGCAGGCTACCTGTGAAATGGTAGTTGAAACCCCAAAACAGAAAGCAGCTCAATCCTTGTGCCTAACTGGAGTCAAGCGACTGATGAAGACACCCAAACAGAGAGCTGAACCAATTGAGGACTTGAGAGGAAAACTTCTCAAGACACCCAAGGACCGTAAACCTTCTCAGGAAGAAAGTCTAGAAGGTATTAAGGAACTCCTAAAGACCCCGAAATATAGAGGAGCTCCAGTAGAAGACATGGTTGGAGTGAAAAGAGTGATGCAGACCCCGAAACAGAAAAGCCACCCTGTTTTATGTGCAACTGGTCTTCAGAGGCTTCTGAAAACACCCCAAACACCTAAAGAAAAGTCTGAGCAGCAGGAAGACCTCACTGGTGTGAAAGAACTGATGAAAACACCGAAAGTGAAGGGAAAACCTGTGGAGAAGCTGTTTGGTCTGAAAAGATTGGTGAAGACTCCTAGAGAAAAGAGAAATCCAGTTGAAGAGGATCTCACTGGTGTTCAACAACTAATGAAAACACCCAAGCACAAAGGAGAGCTAGTTGAAGATCAAATGGGTATAAAAGAGCTCATGCAGACTCCTATCGAGAAGTCCCCCAAGCAAAAAGGAGAACCTGTCAGCAGTCAGTCTGGCATCAGCAGAATGAAGACACCTAAAGTTAAAGAAGCACTGGCAGAAGAAGATTTTACTGATCTTAAAGAGCTTATTGAAGAACCAGAGAGTAACTCTACCTGCACAGAAGAAATTGTGACTCTGCCCAATGAGGTAAATCTCAAGGTCACTTATTAAGCAATCTAATTTGTAGATAATAGTTTATTGTCATGATGTATTTGTCCCCTCATTTAAACTAAATGTTTTATAGTGGTGCAGGACATTAATTGATTGTTCTAAACATGGTCTAGAGCAGGGGTATCAAACTCAGTTTGTGGAGGGCCACAGCTTTGCACGGTTTACTTTTATCCCTGCTTTAACACTTCCTCAAGATTTTAAAGATGCCTAAATGACTCAATTAGTTTGATAGTGTGTTTAATTAGGGTTGGAACAAAACTGCAGAGCTACGGCCCTTCAGGAACTGAGTTTGACACCTCTGCTCTAGTGTATTTTTTAATTAACCCATTATCATGTATTTAATATTTAGGTAAAAGAGACTGTTGCAGTGATGGACAGTGACTCTGCAGTCATTCCAGCTGAAGGCAAGTTTAGATGTTTCAATGCACATTTGTTTTATTTTGTTTTTTCTCATTCCCTAAAGTTTTAGAAATTATATACATTTTGTTCCATTGTTCAAAAGAAACATGAGTGAATGCTTAAATTCAACTAAACCACTGTTTTATTCTGCAGATTTTATTAAGGAAAGTGACAAAGAAAATGTCTGTCCAGTTGAAATCATGGAGATTGAAGTTTTAAAATCTGTGGATCATATGTTTACAACTAAAGCAGTAGAATCTGTCACTGATACAGAGATTGAGGCCAACATTCCCAAAGAAAAACTCCTAGCTCAGGCTAATGAGGAATCTGCATCGGTTGAAGTCATTGAAGACCGTTTTTCTTTGAAAGATGAGAAAAACATTCAGCAGTCTGAAGAAGTGTGCACCTCTGCTAATACCAGTGCAACAGTTGAAGCTAACTCAACCATTTCTACTGCTGTGCAAGAGAATGAAGAACCAATGAAGTCTTCAATTTCCAACAAAGTTCAGCATGGCCGTCGAGGAAGAGTGGCACAAAAAAATAAAAATGAAGTGGCCAAAGCACCAGCTGTATCGTCATTAATTGAAGAGCATAAAATGACTGATCAACAGCCTTTAAGCCCTGCCAAGGGTAGGAGAGGAAGGAGAGTTCTTGAAGTTCCTGAAATCACTGCTAGCCCAGTCAGAAAATCAGCTCGTGGTAGAATTACTAAGCAAAATGATGAAGACCAACAAGAAAAGAACATTGAGGCTAGCCAAGTGCCAGCAGATTCCATGAAAATTGAGATCTCAGAATGCTTGCCTGTAGTTCCCAAAACCAGGAAGGGAAGAAAAGCTAAGCAAGATGATGTTGATGTCAGTACTGGTGACCAACATTGCTCTGATGTACCTGAAACTGAAGTGCCAATTCAAGTCCCGGTGGTGAAACCTGGAAGAAGAAAGATGGCTAAAACTGAAATCAAACCTTCATCGGATGTTGATGCTGCAATTGAACCAGTTTATGAGATAAATGCTAGTGTACCACAGGCTCCTGATGGATCTGCAACTGAAGAGGTAGTCCAAACACCAGTTGTGAAACCTGGAAGGAGAAGGAAGTTGGAAAAGACCGAAAGCAAACCTTCATCAGATGATGCTGCAATTGAACTTATTCATGATGTCAGTGCTGATGTCCCACAAGGTCCTAATGGATCCACAGCTGAAGAGGTGGTCCAAGCTCCTGTTGTGAAAACTGGAAGGAGAAAGAAAATGGATAAATCAGATAGACAACCTTCAGAAGAACTTGAAGAGAAAACACTCGAAATTGTTTGCGAGAGTAATGATGCTGCACCAGAAGTTACTGAAACTATCCCTGCTACTAGAGCTAGGAGGGGAAAGCCATCCAGAAAGGAAAACCTAAAAACTGAGCCAGCTCAGATATTAGATGAAGTTTTAAGCACTCCTACTGTTGCAGTGGATGAGAAGCCACTGACATCTGCAGCAAAATCAGGACGAGGTAGGAAGGCTAAACAAGAATCTGTCAAGGACCAAACTTTGGATGATGAAATGGTTGATGGACAAACTGTGGCAGTGGCAAATGATATTAAAGAACCTGAAGCCCCTGTAGTAAAATCTGGCAGAGGACGAAAGGCCAAACAGCAGAAGGCTATCTTGGTTGAGGAGGTTGACCAACCTACTGTAGATGCTAGCATAGATTTACCTGTGACAGAAGAGCAAACTGAAACTGTGGTAAAATCTGTAAGGGGAGGTAGAAAGACAACGCAGTCAAAGGTGGCTGTTTCTGTTGAAGCTGAAGAGAAGGATGTCAGTCTGCCTGAACAAGCAGAGGCCCCTATTCTGAAGTCTGTCAGAAAAAGGAACGTTATTGCAAAGGAAACTGAAATTGATGCAGAAGTTCCTGTCAAAAGAGGTCGTCGTGCAGTTGCAGACCCTGTACCACCAGTTGCTGTTGTGCCCAGCCGTGGACGTAAAGCAGTTGTTAAGTCACAGCCTGAGATTACAGAGGATGTAGCTTCACCTGAAGAGACCGTTAAGACTGTTAAAAGCACCAGACGAAGAGCAAAAGAACCCGAAACAAAGAAAGAAGAAAGTCCCTTGATACAGACTAGTTCTGAAATTAATGCAGCAGTTTTGCCACTTGATAAGGTGGAAAGAGTAAGCAGGGGAAGAAAAACAAAGGATTCGGCTAAGGACTCTACAATCAATACATCTTCCATAACTGAGGAAGCTAATGAAACTAAACCCTCAAAAGCTGTCAACTGGAACCCAGATTTGGTTGCTGCTAAAGACGTTGAAGAGTTTGAACCTACAGCAGATGTAATAGAACCACAACTGAAGAAATCCAGAAGATTATGCAAATCACCATCCAAGGCATCCCCCACTGAATCAGACCAATCAACTGACTTGCCACTCAGAGGCCGTAGAGGGAGAGCAGCAGCAAAAAAAGAAGACCTTCTTGTTGAAGACTCTCAAGAAGAATCTCTGAATGTCAAGACAACGAGGAGAGGAAAGGCAGTGGCTTCCACAGCAACCAAATCAGAGCCCAGTGAAGGTAAGGCATCAACTCCCCTCAAAAGGAAAAGGAATGAGGTCTTGGACATAAATGAGGAGTCTGTAATTAAGGAACCTTTGCCAAAGAGAAGAGGCAGAGTAGCCAACAACGCTGATGTTGCTGAAGAGGTCTTAAGCAAAGAAAAAATACCTGAAGCCGAACAAGACAAGACAGAGGCCAGTTCCAAGACTGCTAATAGAAGTGCAAGAGGACAGAAAAAGACAGCTCAACAAACAGATCCAGCACCTGCTCAGACTCAAGAGCCTGTTTCTGGTAAGAAAACTAAATGTTTTTTGTTTTCATAATCATCCATTTTAATGGGTAAAAATCTGAAATCATAACTAAACTTTTATCAACAACAAAATAGAAAATGACATACTGATTGAAGTTTAATAGTAGAACTTAATGAATCTTGACTCATCGATCATTAAAAATAAAGAATTGATGCTTGTAAAATAATTTTGCTGCTAATGAATTGACACTTTCCACTCAACCCCAGTGTAAAACTCTGGTCGCATGTGACATTTTTCATGATGTGTGAGGATCATTTAAACAGTTGTCATTGTGTAAAGCTTTTCAAAAACAAAAAAGAATTTTTTTTTTAATACTGTAATGTACATGTGAAAAATGTACATGTTTTAAGCTCACAAATATTTCATGCATAGTGTTGTTTTGAGGATGATAAAAACAACATTAATTTATAGAGAAGGTTGTAGGGCTGCAAAGTAAAAGGTAAAGAATTTAACGTGTCTGGTTATTTACAGTGTTCAACAAAAAACGAGTACACCCCTCACATATTTATTGTACTTTTATGTATTCACAGGAACTAGCACTCGAAGAGGAAGAGGTGTGAAAAAAGTAGAGGAAGTGGACGTCTCTACAGTGGCAGCTCCCGTCAGGCGCACCAGGAGGAAGTAAAGCACTGATCTTACAGAGTGGTCTTAATATTTTCTCTGTGATCTCTAGTTTTAGTTTGTGTTTGTACCATTTCTTTATGGCTTTTTTCTATTAATTTTTCTGAGTAATTTTAGCTGCTTTTTTTTTTAGAGAAGAGTGTGTAAACTAAAATGTTTTTCATGTTCTCTTAAACTCCTGAAAGGGGCATTAAAATGACAGGCGAACATGGTTTTACTTTTAAGAAAATATTTTACAACTGTTTCAACTCTTGAACTGTTAACCTTTCACAGACACATTTTATCATCTATATTCCCTTCATGTTCTTTTCTTTTTGTACTGTATTAAAAATAAAATAATTGAGGGGTGCAAAATCAGGCTTTTACAGTTGTTGAGCCTAAGAGTATGTAATGTGGCTTTCTGGTGAATGTGTATGTGACATGCTTAAGTTTTCATTAAAAATATCCGTCACCTCATTTTCTATTCAATTTGTCATGTTTGATTCATTGATGTAAGGATATTAAAGGTTAAGTTTCACTACAGATACATTTAGAAAATGTGCCAGTTGCAAGGTATCAGCAAACATGTCAAAAGTATGTTGTGAGGGAGGTATCTGCAATAGAACATGAATACATTCATACACATGTGCACACAGTGTTGCCAACTATTTCCAATGAAAAGTAGCTAAATGTTGCCAGATCACACACTGATTTGCATATCAGTGATGTCATCATGTGGTATTTGACAAGCATAAGCCTGTCATGTCTCTAGATGCACAATAAATAGGTTCTTGTTAACATATAATTTTGATTTTTAAATATAACACTGATAACGAACAGTTACATTCTTTTAAACAATCACAGCTTGCTTTTTTAACCTGTGAAACTAACATTTGTGAAAGTGACAACGATTATAGCACTATTTGAATTTATTGCTACCTAAATAACCAACAATTATGCATGTAGACAAATATCAGTAAATTAACAGTTGAAAAACAATCTGAGCTAGCAATTTACTAAATTTGATTTAGCAATTTAATTTTAATTCGCTTTTTAAAAATTGCTAAAAGTAAATTGATGTTAAAAATTGCTAAATTTGTTTTGAAAAAAATATGAAAAACAAAGTAATATGAAAAGTTGCTAAATTGGCAACACTGCGTGCCCATACACCTGTCCAAATATGATAACCGCAAAGGTAAGTGTTTTCTAAAAACGAGTTTGACAGATATAGTCACATTGAGGAAAATATTTGGTGGTACTTTCAAATAAATAGAGTTGCTTCTATTGTATTTAAAACATATCTTTTCAAAGTACAATATTATTTACATCATAAAGTGCTACAAAAACTGGAATGGATTGTTCTTGTAAGATTCAGCTTTCAATCTGTATATTCACTGGTTCAAACACCAGTTGTGAAACTTTGAAGGAGAAGGAAGATGGAAAAGACAGAGCAAACCTTCATCCAATGATGCTGCAATTGAACGCATTCATGATGTCAGTGCTGATGTGCCACAAGGTCCTGATGAATCTACAGCTGAAGAGGTGGTCCAAGCTCCTGTTGTGAAAACTGGAAGGAGAAAGAAAATGGATAAATCAGATAGACAACCTTCAGAAGAACTTGAAGAGAAAACATCCGAAACTGTTTGTGAGCGTAATGATTGTTTCACTGCATTTTCTGTAAATAAAATTTGATTTAATGTATTTATTTTGAGTTTTTGTATTCAATTTTAGGCTTGACTTTATTGGATATTAGAGGATATGTGCATATGCATTTTATTTAGTATTAAAATAAAGTTTTTTTTTTTTATTTAAAATGTATATATTTTAACACCAAACTAATACAAGCCTATCCAATACAGAAAAAGTCTAATGGGGACGTAAATCTGATTGCACACAGAGTAAACGTGCTTATAAATCACACAGAATGAAGTATCTTGAAAATGTGGAAATGCAGATTGCTTTCTGTGAGGGCTGGTGTAGGGGATAGAATATATGGTTTGTATAGTAAATACATTATTAGAGTCCCCAATGGAGTAAATCCAAAATAAAATGAATCTAAATTGTAAATGGATTACATTAACAGTTGCAATTTTTTTTTTTGAATAACAAAATACTACAAGTTTAATATGAACGTATGAACAAATCACTCACAGCACACATATGCAAATAACTGTGATAGATACATGAATATAAAGTTGTCTGTACTGTCCCAAATCGTTCAATATTTCCTTAATCACGCATTGTTGTGTAAAACTATATACAAAGTCATGCATACCATAAGTAGATTTCGCCAGCGCACTCTCCGCCTTACCAGCAGATGGCAGCACTGGCTTCAGCAGCTCAAACAGCCAGTGACGTCATACGAGTGATCCGTTGAGCTGCGGTCGCGGAAATTTTTGAAATTTAACCGAAGCATCGACGGAAGAAAATACTGGTGTAAAATACCAAACCCGCCGTATTTCTGATTCTGATGCCGCTGGTGTTTAATATACGGATAAGTTACATCTGATATGCTGATTTCTGCAGTGCAGTGTTATAAACCCAACCGAGAAGCGTCCTCCAACTGAAGATAATAAAGGAGGTAACGTTACTGTTTTTGTTTCCAAATTATTTACTAGCTAAAGGAGTGTTTGGTTGTAAAGAAGTAAAGTTGATGAATGTTTAATGCTTTTTGCAGACGAATAGGTTTTTTCAATAATATGTATGAATAATACGTTTCCGTGTTTTTATTGTAATTTAAGCCTGCGTGTTTAACGTAAAAACAAACGTTAAACGCGTAACGTTATATAGATGTGCAATGCAAGTGTCTGCTATAACTTAGAGGTAACTAAAGTTAGTTTTATGTTCGCACATTCAGAGTTTCCCTTTAATAATATAATTTCATAAAAGTGTTATTTGCAAACTCTAAATAGCGAAATCATATTAGCAGCTAGTGACTATCAAAGTAACTTACAACTTTGTTTACAGTCAAATAAACAGTGTTAATGTTGTTTTCAAGTCATACTTGCAGGTTATTTCAGACAGAATGTACAAAGTACCGTGGTATACAATATAGGGAGTGTGTCACAAATTGTCACTGAACGAATATGTGAATATAAAACCAACATTACCTCTAGGTGTCTGCTTTACTGTTTCAGATACCTTTAAATATCAAAATTAAGATAAAGTGATACTCCATTGTCCTTCAGATTTATTTTGATAACATATTTTGATAGCACACTTATTCTGATGTGTGTTCATCAGATTTTAAAACAAATCATAATCAGATCCTACTAATGTTATTATATTTTAAATAAAAAAAACTTGGCAGATGGGTAAAATGTAGTTGTTTGAATAATAGTGGTATAGTATAATGATTTATAATCAGTATTTAGCGGCTACACCAAGATCCCTAAATAATTTTTTTTAAATGTGTCATTACATGATTCTTAGCCGAAAAGTTACTGACAAGATTTTACAGACATTGTAATAGACAGGAGATGCATTAAATGCAAAAAACACAACAAACAAAAGCTATCTTTAAGTGATATTACTTTTATTGTTTTGATCCTTGAGATGATAATGGGGAATTTTCTGTCTTGCCTGTGAAAAGTGTGTTTTTAAAGGTCAAGATGAGTCGGCGTCCCAGCAGCAGGTATTCGGAGATGCCCATGCGTGTGACAGACAGCAGGATGAGCCTGATCAATGCCACCCCTCAAAAGTACAACCCCAGTCTTTTCTTTTCATAGTACATTATTGGTCTAAACTGGTTGCATAATGTTTCTGTTGCGATAAATGTAAAATGCTAACAATCATTCAATTTCAGTAAGGACAATGCATTTGGGAAGCTTAACATACCTAAACCTCAGTCCACCACATCTGAGAGGCGAACCAGCTTTTTTGGAAAGTGAGTCTGAACATGAAAAATCAGATATGAGCAGATGTTGCTTGATCATGATTTGTAGCATTTAGTGCATTGTATTCCTGTATTGTTTTTTATTAAACCTAATGCTTTTCTCTCTTTACTTCTGCACAGAGGCATTGGGGCAGGTGGCCAGAGGAACAGCATGTTTGGTAGTTATGGGGGCTCAGAGAAAATGAAGGATCCCAGAGCCCTACATGACAAAGCTTTTGTTCAGCAGTGCATCAAGCAGCTTTATGAAGTATGCTTGGTTTGATTTCTTTTGTATATTAAAAGATTATAGGGTCAGTTTGGAATCAGTCATCCTTTTTTTCTTTTTTAAAGGGGCCTTAAACTGAGGCACTTGCAATTAACAAAGATTGAAATGTTTTTAAATGATTTTTTTGTTTTAAAGCATGTACAGTTTGTAACTTAACGTATGTGAAAGTCAATTATTTAAGTATTGTATGTTAATTTTACTATTATAGCATCTGTATTTCTCTACATATACATATACATACAGTTGAAGTTAGATTTATTAGCCCCCTTAATTTCTTTTCTTCTTTTTTAAATATTTTCCAAATGATGTTTAACAGAGCAAGGAAATTTTCATAGTATATCTGATAATATTTTTTCTTCTCCAAAAAGTCTTATTCGTTTTATTTCAGCTAAAGTAAAAGCAGTTTTTAATTTTTAAACACCATTTTTTTTTGATAGTCTACAGAACAAACCATTGTTATACAATAACTTGCCTAATTACCCTAACCTACCTAGTTAACCTAATTAACCTAGTTAAGCCTTTAAATGTCACTTTAAGCTGTATAGAAGTGTCTGAAAAACATCTAGTCAAATATTGTTTACTCTCATCATGGCAAAGATAAAATAAATCCATTATTAGAAATGAGTTATTAAAACTATTATGTTTAGAAATTTGTTGAAAAAAAATCTTCTTTTTGTTAAACAGAAATTGGGGGAAAAATAAACAGAGGGGCTAATAATTTAGGGGGGCTATTAATTCTGACTTCAACTGTATATGTGTATATATGTGTATATATATATTTACACGTTTTTAAACTACTATTATCATGTGCTCATGCTATTAAAAATTGCTGAAATTACATATGTAAAATATTTTTTTTAGTGCTGTTAATAAGGGGAACCAACATTTTTCTTCTAACCATAACATACATATTTGCACAAACCTGTATGGGTCAGATTTCTTGTAAATAACGCAATAATTTATATCTATAGGAGGTTTATGGGGGTTCATTGGTGGATATTTATTACCAGAACAGTTAGATATTGCTCTATTTTCAAAGAAAAAAATAGTTTAGCTCATGATTTTTAAGAAACGTTAAGCTATAATCAAAAGTCAGAAATTGAATTGCCCAAAATTAATTACAGTGAATTTATTTTCCTATTGTTTCTAGTTCCTAGTGGACAGAGGCTTTCCAGGCAGCATCACAGTGAAGGCTCTCCAGTCTCCATCCACAAAAGAGTTTTTAAAGATTTACGAATTTATCTACAATTTTTTAGAACCATCCTTTCAAATGCCTACTGCCAAAGTGGAGGAAGAGATCCCAAGAATGCTCAAAGATTTGGGGTAATCAATATTATTTTATCACTACACCCTGTACAATTTACAGTAGTTCAAATAAAACTGATCTAATGCACACATTGGCCAGAGTTAACCACTTTGTAAATATTTTTTCATAGATACCCGTTTGCACTCTCAAAAAGCTCTATGTACTCCATTGGTGCTCCTCACACATGGCCTCTGGCTCTTGGAGCTCTCATCTGGCTCATGGATGCTGTCAAGGTAACTCTTCTTCAAACATTTATAAACTATATTAACTGAACTATTGCTGGTTTCCACATCATGTTGTAGCATAAAGAAGACCTCTTATTTTAACCAGAAATGGGCATTGTCACTTTACCTATAGCTCAGTGGTAGGGAACCTATGGCTCGTGTGCCACATGTGGCTGTTTGGCCAAAAATATGTGGCTCTCCAGCTGTCTCCTTTCAATAATATTTTACAGTTTACTAGAAATAAGTTTCCTGTTGGAAACACAATTACAATAGCCTTTTCATTGTCATTTTTTACAGCAAAATTAATTAGAATCTAGTTTAAAATAAAAGGTTGTTTTGATCAATGCGCATGTGAAGCACTGTGGTTAAACCCAGTGGCTCATTAAAAATGCCAGAAATGGCTCTTTGCTATAAACAAGGACCCCTGCTATAGCTCATAATATCGATTGGTGCGTACATGATTTTTCAAGCAAATGCGTCTAAAGCAGTGGTTCTCAAACTGTGGTACGTGTACCACTAGTGGTACTCGAGCTTCTTTCTAGTGGTACGTGGAGGAATCAAATATGTAATATGTACATGTTACATATATGTAAAAATTTATCAAAATGATTTGTATATGAATATGACAACGTATAGCCCATATATACGATATGTTAATACTTTACATTTAAGTACAGCAATTTTCTTTTTACTTTTTATGAACAGTAACCTACCATTTTTAACTTTAAAAGCACATTTTAATTTAAATGTTGATGTTTTTAGTCTTTCTTTTTGTTTTTTTTTACATATAAGCACAGTACAGTCTTAACGTTCAGACTATTTATAATGTTTAAAGTGGCTGACAATAATAAATATTCTTAATAATAGTAACTAATCTGACACGTTTTTGAACTGTGCAGAGCTGTAGTTGCTTAATTTGGTCTACTACGCTACGTATTTCAATACTTCTCATTTTGGTGGTACTTGGAGAGACTATTTTTTTCTGAGGTGGTACTTGATGAAAAAAAGTTTGAGAACCGCTGGTCTAAAGTCTAATTCATTTTTTATGTCACAGGGTTTGAAAATAGTTTGATCAATAATTTAAATGTTGGACTATACAGACTGAAAATATGTAGTCTAATGCTGCTGTTTTCAGTTTGTATTGTTTTACTGTATGCAGACATGAGTACTGGACTGCACAGCAGAACATACCTCTACCAGTACCAATACTAACAGTTGTGGTATTATTAAAAAAAATACTTCGCTACAGAAATAAACACAAAATAAAAGTTTAAACTAATCTGAAGAAAATATAACTGAGAGATATTATTATTATTTTTTTTTTACTATTAGTTTAATTAGCAATGATAAAATGTATTAACATGGTATTTTACTTTTGTAAATTAGTTTTTAAATTTGACTTGGTTTTCTCCTCTTAATTATTTTCAGTTTCTTTTAATAAATAGCTTTTATTGCCATCAAACATTTGTATAAGAACATGAAGCCCAATTTTGTTTTCTTAGCTCTTCTATCTATAGAATGTTTTATGGGGGTTCATCGGTGGATATTTATAACTAGAACATTTCATCATTTAGATATTGACCTCAAACATTTGTATTTGAACGTGAAGCCCGATGTTGTTTCTTTGACTGACTTGCAGATTTTGTTTTCTTAGCTATTTGGTGGTCAAAGAGAGCAGGACCTGCTGTTCTCTGACTTCTCAGATGAGCTGTGTGATTTAGAGGACCGAACAGAGTACAACAAGGTATTCTATCAAACAACACCTCATCTTGTGCAGCACTTATTTTCTTATTTTAGACATTACAGGTTTTCCTAATTTGTATGTGTGCACGGTGTTGCATCTGCAGCTCATTATGGAATACTGCTCTGATACCTACAACAAGTTCATGCAGGGAGCAGATACGTTTGATGATGAGGATGACGACTTTCTTTATAAACTAAGTAAGTAGTGGCGCAGAGTGATGATGAAGAAGAGTGATTTTTTTAATGCTTACTTGGATGAAGTGGTGTAAGTGGATGGATATTATTCTCTTGGTAGCATCAGAATATGCGAATAATAAAAAAAAAGAATTACGATCATTACGTTTTCTTTACTCTTTCAGAGAAGCTGTATAATGTGGATGAGGCGCTGTTACATTCCCAACAGGAGAAGCATAGCATGCTGATGGAACATGTGGAGAGACTTGAAAGGGAGAGCCAAACTGTGAGTCTGTTTAATAAGTGTTTCTTCTTGTTTTTTCAAGGTTCAATCAACCAAAGGTTTCAAGAGTTCTAATTATTAATTGTGTTACGGTACACATAAGCCAGGCCTTGTATGGTTTTGGGGTCACTGTTCTATACGGGAATAAGCAACAAATCGATTGGCTTTTTTCTTTTTATTTTGAGTTTACATTATTTGTTTTGCCAAAATCAGTTAAAGAACTGAAATGCTTCTTGTGATATGAAAATGAAAAACAATGACACAAAAAAACTTTGTTAATTGAAGACTGTTACGGCCCTTTCACACGGGGCTTCAGCGTCAACGCTTGACTGAAGGCGTGTCTAAAGTTGGGGCTAACGCCATCGTCATAGCAGCTTCAGCCAATGAAATTCAGTCAGCAATAGGCCACTGTCTAGCTGGTGTATTTGCATACAGCGATCTGATTGGCTGACGCTTCTGTCGGTGCTTGAAAAGTTGAGCTAGTCCCAACTTCTGCAAAGCCTCTGAAGTGGCGCAGACGGATCCACAATGCAGTTCGGCAACGCCTGACAACATCCATTCAAAGTTAATGAAAAGCTTTTACGCTGATGCCCTGTGTGAATGGGGCGTTAGGGATGTGATGATTCACCGTGAGTCATTTGAAAATCGATTCAAATATGTGACGATTACAATCGATACAAACGTTGAAAGAATCACGATACATGTTTTGAACAGAGACGGCGCAGGGTTTACAGGTCGAAGCTTTCTTTACCTGCACATCAGCGGCGAGCAAGAGGTAGGGAGGCAGAGTAAAATGACAGCAGTGAAGTGTGCCAGACAAAACACAAACTGTGCAAATACTGCAAAAATGCACACTAACAGAACAACGAATGTGATGCACAGCCAAACCACGCGGACCAGATGATTTGCGGCTCCACTTGCTCTGACAAGTGCTACAGAGATCACACGATGCATCAGGCTTTCATTTCCACACCTGCCTTCTCCAACCCCTGCGAAAAAGTTTTTATTTTTATCAGCAGGGGAAATGTGAAAAACCTCAGCTTATGCCAAAAAACATAGGTATGCTGATATTTCTTTTTTAAAATATCCCAGCACAGTTTTAGTTTGTTTATATTGAGTCTTCTGTAGTTTTTTTTCATTATTAGTTTTTTTTTTAAATAGCAATTTATTTATGGCAAAAAATATAATATTTCTGCAAAAAATGTGCAGCATTTAAGAAAAAAATGAAAGGACTCTTCACCTCAAAATTGGTTTTAAATAATTTTGTTTAAAAACCATGACTAAGTCGTGAGAGTATCGAATCGTGAGTCGGGTGAATCGTTACATTCCTAGAGACTGTATTAAATTAAAACTACAGAAAAACAATACTTGCACATTAAAAAATGAAAGATTCAAGAAGCTTTAAACAGAAATCTCATTATGAAATGTCAGAGCTGGATGTCTATTCATCTGTTGTTGATGTAACAGTGCGTGCAGTGGTCAACTTGTGTTCAATCACTGCTCCTATAGCAAAGGAACCACAGACTGGCTTGTGTGTCTTTATATTTCTATTGTTTTTCTGTGTAGATGTGCTTGATGGGTATGTGTGACTGTTATACACTCTTGTGCTGTGCCTCACACATGAGTGCCATGTTTTACATGCAGTGTTTGTCAATGTCAGTTTCAAAGCAGGGGACCGGACAAGCATTGCAAGCTTCTGTTTATAGTAGGGAATTGTAATGACAACTTTATTTGACGGCAACATGGTGCGATTTTTAAAAACCCTAAAAAAAAAAAACTGTATTTATTGTTGAACCGGGACGTCTGTACATGTATCATTACACCTCTCCTATTTACATTAACTCTAATTATAGAAGAACAATGATATAGAATAACAGAGCCAGTCAAAACCGGAATGCTTGTGTTGACAGGATCGTTTAGTAGGCAAGAGGACGGAGAAGCTCAGATTACAGACGGATCTACAAAAGCTGCAGAACTATCGTTGTACTCTAGAGGCTCATAAAACTGGACTGGAGAATAAATCTGCTGGACTGACCGAGGAGCTTGAGGCTGTTGGTGAGAGAATATAAAATACATCTGATTTTTGCATGTTGTATGTTGTCACAGCAGTTCAGAAGTACAATGACAAGTATCATGTACTTATGCTAAGGTCGTTGTACCCTGTACATATGACAAACTTGTGACTTCCTCTACATTCATTGTGCAGAGATGCAGCTGGAGGGTCTGAAGCAGGAGAGGACGAGGCTGCAGCACATCCTGGAGAATCAGAAGTTTACTCCAGCTGATATTGAACGCATTAATCGAGAGAGGAATGAACTACAGCAAACCATTCACGGCTTAAGCCAGAGCCTAGAGGAGGGGGAGCAGCTGGTTTGGAACGAGGAGGTCAACCTGTCTAAAACCAAAGAGAAGGTCAGGATTTTTAACCAGTCTGATGGTCTACAGTCATGTTTGACAGATGCACTCTCAACACACAGGTGTTTCACATTGAATACGTCATGTTCAGTGTAACACAGCAGTCTAATTCAGGAATGAACTAATTAGCATGAATGGCTTTAAGTTTGGTACGACCTGTGCCAGAAAAGAGAAAAAACGTCATCTGTGTTTTTATGCTGTGTTTACACCAAACACGGTATGCGCAGATAAATCACTCTATTCGTGCGTAAAAAGACGTGTGAATATTTTTAGTTTACCTGCTTCATTTGTGCGTCAAATTCACTGAACAATAGAAGCAGATTCGTGTCATTGGCAGGGCTTCTGTCTGTCCGGTGACTGTGGCTTCATTGCTAAATGCCTTAAATGGATTTTATTGAGAGAATAGCTGTGTTTTGTGCTTTAGGAAGGCTGATAAACAGCATCAATTCATTTAGAGCTGTGTCTGAGTCCACTAGATCCATTTTGAGGTGCACCCAGCTCTGTGAGCTCAAACTCCTCCAGAAACTTTACCTGTATGATGGAAGCTTTCAGCAGTGCTTAGACCTAGCTGAGCCCAGCTTGATGAACTGTAGTCCGGTGTGGGCAGGAGGATTTTCCCCCAGGACACCAACAACGGCGATACATCATAATCCCACCCCTACAAGAGAAAGCTCCTGATTGGTTAAGGCGGTGCAAATTTCCACTGAAGTGAAGATTTTCCAACTTGCACCACTTCATTCGCGCCGCCTCATTCGCATGTATCGCGTCGCAGGATGTCTATTTGCGTCTTTGAATTGACTTAACATGTACTCGCAATTGATGATTCTTTCGTGTCTGGTGTGAACGCAACATTATAGCTCTTATTATGAAACACAGGCTTTAATCAGTCTACAGAAAGTTTAATTGAGACCTAATAACAGTGACTTTTATAAGGGGTTTAAACACGGTTCGTTTGTGGCAACAGTGAGATTATAACCAGCTTCTAATTAGAAAGATGTATAATTTTTATTTGTTAAAATCACATTTTATAAAAACAGTCTTCAGAAACACTTTGATTGACATTCTACCTTTGTATGTGCCATCAGATGGGGTTTGCCCTGCCCATTAGTGACTTTGTCTCACTCAGTAGCATAAGACATTAATCTTGTTTTTGAATCTGTCACTATGCTGACACAGGCATTTGTAGCTCCGCCCTCTTTTCAAAAGGGCTGGAAACGCAATCTCATTTGAATTTAAAGAGACCAAAATAACGCAATTAGGATCAAAGACTAAAAGGGGCCATTTTATAAGTAATAAAGCATTATTTGTGGGGTATTTTGTGCTAAAACGTCACATACACACTCTAGGGACATCAGAGACTTATTTTATGTATTGTAAAAAGGGGCATAATAAGCTTTTATGTCTAAAAAGTCAATGCAAATGCAATACCCGCATCTACTTATAACTTAACGAACTACTACCCACTTTAATATATGATTATATATATATAGCTATTATATTAAACAAATGTATGTGAGTGTTTTAGCTTATGAAATCATAAATGAATATCAAAGGTTAGAAATTTGGTCAGTTTGATTAATGATATTGACATACAGACTAGACTAGAATGTATCACTTTATTAATTGACATTTTTTTGCAGGCGGAGTTGAAAGTTGCTGAGTATAATAAACTGGGTCGTAAGCTAAAGCTCATCCCGCTATCAGCAGAGAATGCCTGTGGTCATGACTTTGAGATCAGAGCTGATTACAGTGCCACTACCATTACACAATACAAGACACAGATACAGGTACAGTCACTACAGCCATCTATCAAAGAGACTCTGTTTTTGAAATGATTAAGGATTTTATCTGACTCTTAACTCTGCAGAATCCTCTGAAGAACATGATGGTTGAGGTGGAGGAAGAATTCAGCAGACTCTCTAATGTAAATCTGAGTTTGGAAGAGACTGTTGAACAGGTGAGGCTTTTGTAATTTTCAGGAGAACATCATTCAATCCTGTTTAGTATAATGCATCACTGAGGTGACTCATTATCCTGGTCTGGTTATTCTCTCAGAATCTGCCAAGATATGCTAGTTCAGATATTTTTTATTAGTTTGTACAAAGAATACATTATTTATTTGTTATTTCCAAATATTTGCATTGTAACATGTATTATTTTTACGAAACATTTATTTGCTTTTGATTTGATTGATTTGATTAAGATTTTAGCATTCAGCAGATCCTTTTATCAAAGCGACTCGTCCACAAACACTCCAAGAGAGGTAGTCTGCCTGAAGAGCAGTTGTGTTTTTTGTTTGTTTGTTTTTTTTGTCCAAGTCTTGGAATGTCCGGGATTTTTGTTTGCCATTTTATTTTTACCAAAATGTAATCTTTCTTTAGGGTCATTTTATACTGTACACACTTTTTGTCTGATGAGTGCTCAACACACTACCTGCATGTTTCTCTGTTCATTATTAAACTTCTTTTTCACATAAGAAAGGGTGCAGGCATTGTAATCCATTAATTTTAAACCATGTAAAACAGCTTGTTTTTCTAATTGAGGTTGCAAACTGGTATTTTCTTTTTTTCTACTGTAATGTATTGTCGTTGCAAAATAAGGTAAATATGGAAATTTAGCAATTGCATTTTATGTATATATTTAAAAAAATTAAATCAGGAAAGTTAACATTTAAGGTTTAAAAAATTTGGCTTAGAGTGGGCTTAGTTCTCTGGTTGTAAGCATGTGTTTTTTATCTTTTTTAATGGGTAGATGTAGTAAATAATATTATTCTGGAAACAGTTTTATTTACACCGTAAACTTTATCTGGCAGTTTATTCATTAAACATTTTTATTGCCATTTATATAACATTTTTACCTTCTGTGTGGGTTTTATATTAGCACACTTATAACCAAAATATAGGCAGATAAATAGAAGTCGATTTTATAATTTAATGTTTTATATTGAGCCGATAACAAAAGCTTTACGAATAAGCAGTTGTCATCTGCTGATACTGAAATTGGCGCTATGTTGTGAATCACTTAATAAAAGGCGTCTTGATCATACAATTGTTTTATTTACCGCTTTTGCAGTTAGTCCCAGCCTGTTTAATTAGGTAAATTTAAGATTCAGGTAGGCTGTGCACTAGATTTTGCATGTACCTATAAAGGTGAGCTCATCTATGTACAACTGCATCTGTCTATTAGGTGAAGTCCAACATCTTTGATAAGGAGAACGACATTAAGCAGCTTAAGGAACAGATTCGCAAAGTCGACCAGCAGCTGGAGAATGCCATGCAGGTAAAATACACCTCCACGGGGCGTTTGGGTTTTAAATGTAATATTAAAAAAATATGCTTGGATAATAAATAGTGCATGGAAATTGAAGTCATTCAGGTAACACTTTATTTTGATGGTCCATTTGAGTATTAGTAGACTGTCTGCTTAATATCTGTTAATACTGCTCCTTCAACAGACATTTAACTGACTATAAGAAACTTTGCTTGTACATATTAACTTACACTAACCCAAAACCCAACCTAACTGTCTACTTATAATTTAGTGAGAATTAGCTGCAATGTAACTTAAATTCAACAAATGGACCATTAAAATAAAGTGTGACCATCCTTCATTTTCAGAAACGATACATATTAAATAGTTGTTTTGTGCATGCGATTGATCTTATTCTGCTGTTTGTAGGAAATGGCGCTGGAGGATGACAAGTGGGCAGCTGAATTGGACTCTGCCGAAACTCATAAGAAGCTTTTTGAAAAGAATGTAATGCAGGGGATTGAGGAAGCTGAAGAGGAAGTCAAAGCTGCCCAACAACAGTGAGAATCTCTTTTCCACTGTTTTTTTTTTTAATTCTGTTTCTTGTTCATTATTTATTCACATTTATTTCAATGATCTTCATCAGGTATCACGTCGTCGTGCAGGAAACTAATGAGAAGAATCGCATGGTGGTCAAGAATATGACTGATCTCTTCAGTTCCACAGTAAACCACCTGTTTGCTGTTGAGGTATGTGATGATATTCCCTTACCTTGACTTGACATGTGCTGCAGAGTTTGCAAAAAGTCTTTTAAAAAGTGTAAGATTTCAAAACCATTTTAGGCCTTAGTCTTAAAAGTGGCATAGAGTGCATTGACAACAAAGATTACAAAACAAGATAATTTGAAGAATGTTGTCATTGACGTCTACGGTAGCTGTTTTTTTCAACATTTCTTTTCAGTCTTCTTTTGTGTTCAACATAAACTCAAACTGGTTTGAAACGAGTAAAATTTGAATAAATGTGTCTTTAAATTACACTCCATCCATTACACATGACCCTATTCTTTACCATTACCGAGTATTTTACTTGTCTACTTGATAAGTCAATTATCATCCTTTTAACCAAAATGTTTTGTTTGTCTTCTAGAAACACTGTGATGAGCAGTTGAAAAGGTTTGACAAGCTGAAGGATATCGTCCGTGAGGATGAGGCTGACATTAACCAGCTCACAGATCTGGTGGAAAACTTCATTAAGAAAGCCAACAGCTTGTAATGCTTAACTGTCCTGTTTTGTAAATACTTTTACTATTAGACTAATTTACTGATTCTAGCACCACAGAAACGTCTTTAAATACAGAATCAAATGTTTTGTATTTATCCTGTATTTACATCATTTTAATAAATGTGTTTTCATTTCTAAATGTGACGTCTATTGTTCATGTTTGATTTCATTGTTTACAGATTCTTAAGGTATATTATTTTCATATTCAGTATATTGGTTTTGTTCGATTTAATTAGTCTGTAAATAAAACCTTCTTTTGACTCGTAAATTTGCCTGTTTTAATATTATTTGTGAAATTTAGACCTGGTGTTAGCACTACATTCTTTGATAATTTAACCTATTGACTAGAAAGAATAACAAGGTTTAATAAAAAATGCAAATAAACGGCTGCTTTCTAAAGATATCTGGAGTAATTATGTTTTAGTTAGATCCAAGTAGCGTTTTTCTCATGACATGCCTTTTTTCTGGGAAAAATACGAAAATCAATGGTGAAAATCTACATGTGTAAAGCCTGTTGGGCACAATAAATAGATGAAGACACATACACAACCTTTCACTGTCCACATGCTGAGCATCTTTACGCTATCTAAAGACTGCAAGTGTAATATAAAATGTTAGCTGTTGTCCTGTAAATATAAAAATATGTATCCTATCTTCTAAATAATGAAGTGAGTACTCAAGAAGCACATTTCTGATTTTTTATTTTATTTATTTGAATCTTTCATATGCCGGACAGCTCTTTATTTTCTAATATAGCTACACCAGGTGCTACTAACTAATATAAAACACTGCATTTTTGTTGGTGCATATCTTCTATAAATCTCATGTTCGACAGGTATAAAATGTGTGTGTGGATTGCAGATTGAGGTCAACTACAAATTTAAAAAACACGTTTTCAATATTTGTTTATAAACATACAGAGTATATTAAATTTAAGTAAGGTGTCTGTTGATGTTTCAGATAACTTTTTAACATAAAACCTCAAAATATATGTGAAAGAATGTTTCTTCACTGCATATCAACATCAAGTAAAAACACTTGCTAAAGTATATAAATAATGAATTATCATGCTGAATTTTAGAATATTTTAAAAGATTTAAACCTGCTGATAAATGAGTGGTTTGAAGAATAAGCAAGAAAGAAAAAGTTTAAATGACAGTATTTTGTGGATGCACTTTTTAAATATAGTGTTTTTATGTATCATCAAACGATTCTTATTCCAAATATGGCTGATAAGATTCTTTTGATTTAAAATTTGCACTCAATGCTTTCTGCAAAGTGTTAAAAAAGCAATGCATAAAAAGTATTATATTCTCACTGTCTTGATAATTTAACATTTATTTTAAGTCTTTGAGACGATAAATCTACATTTGTAGAAATTAAATTTTGCCACTTAATCACATTTTATGAGAACCTTTTGCAGAGCGGAACTCAATTGCCCGCTCTGCTTTTCCGCTGGACGAATTGAGGCGACGGACGCAACGGAACATCATGGAGGGAGATTTGACTTGTGTTTTGTAGCTCAGACTCTTTCCTTCAAAGTAGCAGCACAGTCTCTCAATGGAGCTCGACAAAGACATCCAGACAACTCAAAAGGGATTTCATTGCAACCTCTGCCATGTTAACATACCTAACAGTAAGTAGCAATAATCTACAAACTAACATCAGCGCAACACAAGTGAAACACGTTTATAAAGCAGAAAGACCTGTTATAATACAATACTTCAACTCAAAGTCATGCAGTTGCGGGAATGTATATTGACGTTTAGATTAAACCAAACGTTTACGTTTCTTGCTTGACTTTTGTACTCATTCCATGTTAATTTCACTCGTGCATAACATTACTGTGCTTAACTTTACATGGTAATCAAGATAATGCAATCCTTTCAAGTCGTCATTTTCCCTGTTATGTATTTTTCAATGTACTAAGTTACTCAGTAGGCACGGGCATAGGTATAGGATTCTGATGGTATGATAACCTTGGATAAAAATATCAGTTTCACGTGTTGTGGTTACTGCTCTAAAATAGGTTCTTCATATTTATTTTTAATTGTCTGTGTAAAAAAACTTGGGTAAAACATTTCTCCCATTTGAACACACACACAATATATATATATATATATATATATATATATATATATATATATATATATATATATATATATATATATATATATATATAAATATATAAATAAATTATTATTTAACAAGGAATGTTCCATTAAGATGCAATATCTCTTCTACTAGGGAGTTCTGGTCAAGACAGAAATACATGTCACAGCATATAGACACAAAACTAGTATAAACCATATAATTACTTATTAAAACGTGTGCACTGACAATCTTTAAAATATTTTAAAATATAGCAATAGATTGTACGGATTTCATAAGTAGTATATCTTGAAGCTCATTCCATACATATGGAGCATACTTGGAGAATGCAGGTCGACCTAACTCTGTGGAAAAAATAGCATCTTAAGTAAGAGTATATCTGCTGATCTAGTGTTACAAGTTTTTGAACAGTACTCCAACAAACTAGATATGCACTGTTGTAATTACCAAACTAACAAACTAAAGCTTTAAAATTAAAAACTAAGATGTGTTTATGTTTATGTTGGAACAGTAACTTTAGCTGTCTTCATTAGTTTGAAAAGCACTGATTATTTGCAATTTAAAACAAAATTTTTGGATATCTTTTCTGGAGATACTGTTTTCCTAAAAAAAAAAAAAAAAACAATACAAAAAAAATCTTAAATATACCGTAGGAACAATATAACAAAAGTTTTTGCCGTTTTAAAACCTTGACTTCTCCAAACCGCGGTATACCTGAAAAACAGTTATCGTCCCATGTCTACTATTCAGCAGATGTTTGTTTTTTTAAGAAAACGTTGGTTTATATTCGCACATTAGTTCATATTTAACATTTTGACAGAGCCCCTATAAAGTTTACCACGCTACTTTGAATATTGGGTCTGAAATTGCAAGTATGTCTTCAAAACAATATTACCACTATTTAATTGACTATGAACAATGTTTTACTTTGATAGTCATTGGTTGCTAATATGATTTTCCTATTCAGAATTGGACTAGAAGAATGCTTTTCTGAAATTATATTATTAAAGAGAAAGACTGAATGTGCTGCTATAAAACCAACTTTACCCCAACTGATTATTTCCACACTTCACTGTTGTGTTTTTGTTCAGGGCCCAGTTTGGAAGATCATGTTAAAGGAAAGAAACACCTGCATCTCCTGCGCCTCAGAGCTCAGCGGAAAACTCAGGAAGAAAACAGTGTGTTTGTGAGCGGCTTTAAAGCAGACACGTCTCAGACTGAGCTGAAGGAGTATTTCCAACAGTTTGGACTGGTGACGGATGTGATCATGGACAAACAGAAGGTTAATACACACACTGCCTTTACCATCTGTTTTTGTTAATTTTGGTTAGTGATTCAAATAAGCAAGAGTGTAACTCTAAATAGTGTAGGGACACAAAATGGGGCTTTTTGTTATTACAATGCCTGCATTTACATGTATTTAGGAACCATGTGATGAAAAAATCCAGGAAAAATAATAGGCTGGGTAAATTTAGATTGAAACCAACCTGAAAGTGTTAAAAAAATCTTTGTCATCACTTGCATTTTGTAATATCAATTGCAGTTAGACAGCAGCCAAATTATATGAAAATGTTGATCATTATATTATTAAATGTCTTTCATGCATAAACAACCATGCACCTTTAGTTAATGAAAAAAAAAATCCTGGTGCTGATTTTCTATATGGCACACATTTCTAAACGTAAGATTATTCTGACCTGAGCTAATAATGAATCAACTACTCACAATTTATTCATCCATGTTTTCTGAAGCGATCGTTTCAACTGTAAAACCTGCTCATTAAAACTTCCATCATCTTATTATTAGAGTGTGCACTCAAAGTTATTGAGCACGCACATTAACACATGCAGACTCCCTGCTCGGTTGTGCTCCTCCGTGGCCATGACACGGCGTAGAAAGAATTAATTATATTAATTCCGACCTGACATGAAAAAAGGAGATATATATATATATATATATATATATATATATATATATATATATATATATATATATATATATATATATATATATATATATATATATAGAGAGAGAGAGAGAGAGAGAGAGAGAGAGAGAGAGAGAGAGAGAGAGAGAGAGAGAGAGAGAGAGAGAGAGAGAGAGAGAGAGAGAGAGAGATCATCACAGCCTGCATATGGACAGTTGGTTTATTTATTTATTTATTTTGTCAGTTCTGTATATGCATAGTTTAGTAATCTACAGAAGTCATCACAGCATTCTCCACCCAAATTAAGTCCTGAAAAATACCACATTTACAAAACTTCTTTGAGAGCTGATTTGAAAAAATAAGATACATATAAGTTATAACATGTCAGCTTTTTAAAAAAATTATACATGTGCATAGTAGACATGGGATGATAACCACTTTCAAGGTATACCACGGTTTGGAAAAGTCAAGGTTTTAAAACCGTCAACATTTTCTGCTATACCGTTCCTAAGGTATGTAAAAGATTTTTTATATATTTGTTTTATTTTGTTATTTTGTTTTATTTTGTTTCTCCAGCAGAAGAGATATCCAAAGGTGCCGTTTTAAATTGTAAAGAAAAATCTTTTTTTTAAATAAATGAAGCCAGCAGAAGTCTATGATGTATTGGAATTTTTTATCCTGACATGTTTACAGCTCTAAAATATTTATAACATTTCTCAAAATAAACTATATTGTGTGCAAAAGGGAAAAAAGTGTTTTGTTTTTTACCCAGACATTTATAAAGAACTTATTATAGAGCTGTAATCACAATACTGTAAAACCTTGAAACCTTAATATTTTTATCCAACGTTATCATACCGTCAGAAACTCATACCAGCCCATGCCTAGTGCATAGCACAAGAAATAAAGAAAATGAGGTACATCTTGACTCATTAGTGTTGCTAGATTTTGCTATAACTAGTAAATTTAAATACTTTAAATCACTTAATTTTAAACAAATGATCCCAAAATACTATGGCCAACTCCTGCCTTCCATATTAACTCTGTTTGATGGATTAATAAACTTTGTGAACAGCGCAATACTTTGAGTGTCCTCTGCAAAGTAGCCTTCCATAAACAAAACGGTTGTGTTTTGTTGATAGTAGTTTAGGTAAAATTGATTTAGGATTAAAATTGTTTGAATCTTTGGTCACTGTAATATCATTTTGGTCAAAAATGGCAGATTCCCTACATGCCAATCTTATAGTATGAATGCAGGATAGTATTTGTAAAAATTGCCATGTAAACAGTTGCAAAAACTATTTTGGAAAAACAATCAAATGTGCAGATGTATGTTTTAATCTTGTATAGGCGGGTGTGTAAAATAATACTGTGAAAAAAAAATTGTAATTGAACATTACCAACATGTCTTTTAGTATGGACCTCATTCTCAAGGAAGCAAAACACCTCAGTTTTATTTGGAGGCCTAAAAGTTGCGGAAATTTATATCTATCGTGAGGCAGTGAGGTCTTTAACACCATAGCATTACTTTAATATTACTTTTAGTATTAAGATAATATGTTAGTGCTTACTTTTATTATCAAAGATATTGTTTATCGTTTGACCAAAACACAGTGTAATACACTGCAATACAAAAACGATTCAGAATTATACAAATAAACATTCCTCAAAAGTATAATATTTCATATTTGAAAATATATATACTACATTGATTCAATAAAAATGCCTCTAACTCGTTGTCCATTTTGAAATGAAAATATAAAAGTTATTCATAATTTTACTTTATTATAATAAGTTTTACAACAAATAATTTGTGCATAAACCTAATTATAATACATATCATAATAAAAGGCATTTTGCTTGATTTAAAGTGCATGGATTCAAATGTATACAATAGGTTTTTCAAAAAAGATTTGATGTTGTCAATACATTGGATGCCTTAAAAGTGTGCCTGTCAAATTAGATGCTGCATATACGTTTATTATAGATTGTAATTGCAGTGTTATTGTTCTGTGTAGGGTGTGTATGCCATAGTTGAGTTTTCAGAGTCTCAGGATGTTCAGACAACTCTGGCACAACCACAGCATCAGCTAAATGGACTCAAACTCCGTGTCAAACCCAGAGAGAAGAAAGAGTTCAAGCTGGCCAGCAGAGGGAAACAAGACTGCAAAAACACCCTGATCAGCCTGGACAAACTCAACTTTGAGCTCTGCAAGGCTATGTCTGTAAGAGAGCTCTTCACATTCACCGGCATAAACAAAAGCATTTTCTACATTTTCCTAAAACAATGTTTGTGTGTGTATGTGTGTTTTAAAGGTAAATGAGCAGATACAGAAAGTAGTCGAGAGTTTGGAGCTGAAAGACAACGAGAAGAAAGTGAGAGATCTTCTAGTTCAGCTGCTGCAGGAAGTTTTCACAGAGTTCTTTCCAGGTCTGCTCTTGACTGAAACTGCATTCTTATCTTTAGATAGGGTTTCTTTATGACAAAGCTAATAATTAAAATTAAATTGAGTTGGTACACTCTGTGTGTAAGTAGTTACTGTAATTAAATTATTTTCCTGCTAAAAAAGTAACAAATGGGATTACTTTGCTGTAAATATACTGTAAATAAATTAAACCGTTCTGTATAATTTAATTTAGATAAAAAATATGTTAATTTTTTGTATATTATTTATAAATAATATATATAAATAATATTGCTAGGTATAAATGTACCTATCAAATACAACGAAATGAAAGAAAATACAGCTCCGACATCGTGTTTAAATATAAGATCATCAATACTGTTTAAGAAAAATGTAAATAATTAAGAAATTTATGTCAATATGTGGTGTGTATAAAAAATATGATGTCATTCATTAATTTTTTTATATAAATATATATATATATATATATATATATATATATATATATATATATATATATATATATATATATATATATATATATAAATTTCTATTGTCTATGCATCTAGAGCTATATGAATATTAAGTAGTATTGAGTAAAGTAATCATTTCTTATTGAGTAATTAAGTTGCTATTCAGACATTAATTACAAAATTACAATTGACTAATGTAATTGTTAATTTTTTACATTTATAAAAATAAAAACTTGCCCAAAACAGGTTATCAGCAAATATGTAAATCATTTAAATGTTATCTTAATCTCAGGAATAAACATTTATTTTTAAACCTAAGGGGTTTTGCCAATAAAAATGTATGTTCCTCATGGTGATGTATAGTTGAAGTCAGAATTATTAGCCCCTTTTTGATTTTTTTTTCTTCTTTTTTGATATTTCCCAAATGATGTTTAACAGAGCAAGGATTTTTTTTTTTACAGTATGTCTGATAATATTTTTTCTTCTGGAGAAAGTCTTATTTGTTTTATTTCGGCTAGAATAAAAGCAGTTTTTAATTTTTAAACATAATTTTAAGGACAAAATTATTAGCTAATTTTTTTCGACTGTCTACAGAACAAACCATCATTATACAATAACTTGCCTAATTACCCTAGCCTGTCTAGTTAACCTAATTAACCTAGTTAAGCCCTTAAAAGTCACTTTAAGCTGTATAGAAGGGTCTTATAAAATATTATTTACTGTCATCATTGCAAAGATAAAATTAATCAGTCATGAGAACTTAGTTATTAAAACTATTATGTTTAGAAATGTGTTAAAAAAGCTTCTCTCCGTTAAACAGAAACTAGGGAAAAAAACAGGGGGCTAATAATTCCGACTTTAACCGTATGTTGGAATTCTCTTATTATGAAGTCCACTTTAATCGGCCACTACAAGATCACGTTCATCTGCTTGTACTTTTGAGTGCAACACTTCTTAAAATCCAATCAACAGCTGATGCACTGAATCAACCAATACTCCATGATTTCTTTACTTACATGTACATAACAGTACAGAAGAAAAAATCTGCGTTTGTTTCTGATTAACTGCGACTTTAATCAGTGCAAAGTTAATTAGTTAATTATTTAATTAGCAGCATTTGTTCTCTAAATGTTTTCCCCTTTTGTTTTCTAGTGATGTAAAAATGATTCCTCTGAATGTTATTTTGTGTCTTGCTATACAGATTGCCAGATTGTGCCCTTTGGCTCGTCTGTGAACACCTTTGGGCTTCACTCCTGTGATCTTGATCTGTTCCTTGACCTTGAGAACACCAAAGTATTTCAAGCTCGTGCAAAGTCTTCAGAACAGGTATGTTGACTACATTAAAGGGTTATTTCACCCAAAAATGAACATTTTTAACCTTTATTAATTTTGGAACACAAATAAAGATATTTTAACACCATTTTGCTCCAACCCAAAACAATGTAGTTTCAGTGGTTCAACTGTGATCAAATGAAGCTCCAGTGCCAAAATACTGTTGTTTACTCCTTTGTTTTGTCTGTGTTTTCCACATCAGATCAGTGTGCCCTTAGTTAACACACACCCTGATGATGAGGAGGACAAAAGTGAACAGGATAGTTTTATAATACAGATTTTTTTTTGGTACACAAAAGTGTTCTCTGAACTTTGTATGATTATAGTTGAGCCACACAGAATGTTTTAACAATGTTTTTGGTTCCTTTGAATGTCTCAAGGATGCATGAGCTCCTGAATTTCATCTAAAATACCTTTATTTGTGTTCTGAGGATGAATAAAGATCTCCAAGCATTGGAATGACATAGGAGCAAGTAATTAATAAAAGGTGTTTTGTTATTGGGTGAACTAACCATTAAACACTTGACATGTTAACTCAAACATCAAATCATCAAACCTTTTTCCAGTCTATAAAATGTCCAATGTTCACCAGACAGGAGAGAACCAGTCCGAGGATTGCCGTTCTGAAGACTCCATTTTGTCTGACATTGACCTGTCCACTGCCTCTCCTGCTGAAATTTTGGAGCTGGTTGCTGTTATTTTGAGGAAGTGCGTTCCTGGTGTTCACAAAGTACAGGCGCTCAGCACTGCTCGACTTCCTGTGGTCAAGTTCAGTCACAAGGAGCTCAACCTCCAAGGAGACATCACCATCAACAACAGGTGATTTCTGACTGTGAAGTGAAAAACTCCACTAAATTGTAGTAGACTTTGCATCAGTGATATGCGAGTAGACGTCCGTGTCTCTAATATCTTCCTCTTTCTGCACCAGATTGGCAGTAAGGAACACAAAATTTCTGCAGTTGTGTTCAGGTATCGACTCCAGACTCCGACCCTTAGTCTACACCATCCGTTTATGGGCTAAGCAGAAACAACTAGCAGGTAATACAATTGAAAATGACAATTAAGTATATGTCTATTAAGTGTCTTAAACATTTTGCAATATTTAAACATTTTGCCAAAGCGGCAACCTCCCGCTCTCCCTCTTGAGGGCAATACGGAAGTAACTGAAACTGCAATTCATCGAAAATCCACTAGTCCTGGCTCCATAATATAGCAAATTTCAATTGAGCCCACTGTTAGAATGGCCAACTTTACAGCAGAAAAAAAGGTGTTTACAGCCTGGTACAAAGATTGATTTTGGTTCATAAAGCTAATATTACCCTTTGTGACAACTGTGAGGGGGGTGAATTTTTTTCAGTTTTCTTTATATTAGGTTATTTTAGGTTATATTAAGTTTGCATAATTAAGGGCGTGGCCACTTGATTGACAGCTAGGTCTTGCTGGTCGCCGTCACGTCACCTCAGCTGACTCCGGCAAATTAGCCACTGATTTTTGTTTAGTTTTATGTGGCTTTACACAGTCAGTTACCTTTTGGGATTATTTCCTACAATTATCAGATGATATGGGATGCTGTGTGCATTTAATTGTGCTCACAAACCATTCACGTTTCCCATGTGTGTAATGTTATATACTTATATACTTTCTCTATAAATGTATTTGTTTTATTTAAGATCATTTATAATGTTCTTTAGAGCTGTAATGCACTGCAGAATCTGACAGATTGATTAGATGTGGACTGTAGAACTGTCATCTGAAGTTTTATCATACAGTGTTATGCTACATTTCATCAATAGTCCTAAATTTAATAACACAGACTATATCTGAAGTGTTTGGAAGTAATTCGCGTTTTCCTCCTGTAGGAAAACATCATAAGAACAATACTTAGTGGCTCAATGTATTACAGCAGTGTTTTTAAAAGACTAAACACTTTATTGATATAGTGTACAGCTAAGCACATGTGGTCAGAACACAAACCAGTCGGAGGTGATAAAGTATTAAGCGTCTTGCCATAGTGTGTCTAAGTCAGGTCCAAGCAAAATGCCAGCAGGTGTCTGTAGCTCCGCTCACTCTCTTGCCTCTTTGCCCTTGTTTGGTATCCCGCCGTGAGTGCGATGACGCGTGAACAAAATGGCGACTGTTGGCCGCACCTACTTGTGGCTTCTTTTGCGCTCTTCAGAAACCTATGGGTGACGTCACGGATACTACATCCATATATTTTACAGTCTATGATTTTGCCATACATGAACACATATTTTACAGCTAAAGTTTGTTTTCATTGATATATAATATTTGTAATAATGCACAAATCATAACTCTCAGTACTGTAAAGTACATCATTGCAGCACAGTAATTAATAATCTGTTCGGTATACAGTAGTCAACATTTGAATTGGATCAATGTGTGTTGTTCAGTAGTTTCAGGACAGCTTTGATGAAAGATTTGGATAAACTTAAAATGTTTACTTCTGTAAAACAAAAGTACAACTCAATTCTTGAACGTTCTTTATATTTTTTAATAATACTAATGAAATGAGGCAATCTTTTAAAATGTTCTTAGTTGACAATAATATTTACATAAGCAATTATGGACCTAAAATGTTTTTATTTGTTAAGAACACAACTAGTTTTACATAATTTTTTAGGTTATTTATGGCTGGAATTTTCTTGCCAGTTTTTGTGTAATTTGTATGTACCATAAAACCTTGTGCCTGTTTATTTTCATAGGAAACCTGTCTGGCCCGGGTCCGTTGTTGAACAATTACGCTCTCACACTGCTGGTGATCTTCTTCCTTCAGAATCGAGACCCTCCTGTGCTTCCTTCTGTCAATCAGCTCAAGAACATGGCCTGTGCGTTGACCAAGACTGCTATTTATTTTGGATTTATAATGTATTTTGTATTGCAAGAAATATAAAATGCAGAAGTAGGATTAAGTTCGAGGAAAGTAGTATCTCTTGAGCATGAAATGAGTAGTAAATGTAATAACGTTGTTTTGTTTGTGTAGGTGAGGAAGAGGAGTGTGCTATTGAGGAATGGGATTGCACATTTCCTAGCCAGCCCTTTAGTGTACCGCCCAGCAAAAACACTGAAGATCTCTGTAAGTACCAGATATGATCTTATAGTTGCATCCATTTTATAATTACTAAGATGACAAAACTCTTGGTCATGTAAAAGTAATATGATATTTTATTTAAAAAAATTGGGAAAGAGGCTTTATTTTACTTTAATTTTTTCGGCTTTCCAATTAGCTAGAAGATTGTTCGCACTTCTGTTCTCATTGTCTCATTTGCATTTATGCCAAAAAATTATATATGGCTCTAACCTGATAGAGTGAAGCTTTCTAAAGAAACTTATTAACGTACAACTTGGATGATAATGTCTTTAAGGAAGTCTACCTCAGGAACATATTTTAATCAAGACATTTTGCCATGATTAAAGCACACTGAACTGAGCTAAACTGAACTGAACTGAACTTAAACACTAAAAACTGAACTACACTGTTCCAGTTACTGTGACCATTTATGTGAAGCTGCTTTGTCACAATCTACATTGTAAAAGCGCTATACAAATAAAGCTGAATTGAATTGAATTGAATGTGGATTCAAGTTATCATTTTCACAGTCACCATACTAATGTACACATTCTTTCAAATACTTCAAGTTCACAAAACAAATTATAAATAAAGCTAGCCTAACCTTTATTTATAAAACATGTTAATACGACAAAAGGGGTGACCACACTGTCTACTTTCTTTTTTCTACAACAACAACAAAAAATCTCCTGTATAAAAATAAAATCGCATTTCCACTCAATACACTTAACAGCACTCAGACCAGAGATGGAACCTCAGCAAGGCAATTAATAACAATCTGAAGGCAAAGCTCATGATTCTTGCCATATACACTATACTGTCCGATTGCTCAGCAGCATCTTGACTGCTCAAACTGTGTGTATGAAAACAACATGTAACATGCTGCTGCTTCTTTCTTTGTTTGTTATTGGTAAACCGGTAGATGCTGGATTTATCTTTTGAGCAGATCCAGTGAGGGCGCAAATGCTCAACTCAACTGTGCAATTCCCTCATGAGGGCTGAGTAAAATCGAGGACATGTCAGAAAAGCGTCCGATTGCTGATCTGGGGAGGTTAATCGCCTCGCTGCACCCCCTGTACACTGCACAGCATGAAAAAAAATGCATGACCGCTGAAATTCAGCTAGATTCACAAAAACGTCGCACAAGTCAGTATTCGCCTCAAAATCTGCCCCAAAATCACTCTGTTTGCTTGGCTTAAGGTCAAATGCTTCTGTAAATTGTACATGTTTAAACTGTTGTTTAAAATGTCATTAAAAGTGAAGCATTGCCTGATTTTAAGAGGCAGGTTGTGGAGCGGCAGCAGTGATCTCCTCTTTTTTTCATTTTGTCCACAGAACTACTGATGTAAATTCAGAGCTTGACAATCTCTGAGTTTTTTAATCTCGATCAGATCCATTATAAATGAGGGGGCTGTAACCATTTAAAGCTAGAAAAATCTTAAATGTGATCCCATTTCAGTGCCTGTCAAAAGTTTTGCTGCTGCATTTTGCACCATTTGCAGTTTGATAGCCAAATCTAGAATATAATCAAGTCTAGAAAAGATAAAGGCATGTATGACTTTAAACAGGTTCTTCCAAGATAAAAACAGGCTTAATTTTAGCGAAGTGTATTTATAAACTAATTTTGAGAGGATCAAGTGTTTATGATTGCTTGTGGCTGGTCCCACATTATCCAATTATCCAATTCATTATATAATCAGTCATCAGCTAAGTGTGAACTCTTAAAATTCAAATTTTGAAATTCTATAACAATTCATTGTAAAGTCCAGGGGCCTCATGTACGAAGACTTGCATGGAAATCATACTAAAACATTGCGTACGCACAAAGCTGTAAATGTGCGTACGCAGAAAAAAAATCAGATGTATGAAACACTGCGTACGCAGAATCTCATGCATATTCTTCTGTACATCCGAATGAACGTGAAACTGAGCGCAAAATACATGAGCACAAAACCCCTCCCTGCCTCCTCCCCAGTATGAATATGCTAATGACTCTACTTTGGGAAAACCCAACGAAAAAGCAATGGCAAAAGCAAGCCAAAAGAGAAACTTTGAACAGAATGTAAATTGGAGGTGCTGCTTTCGGAGGCAGACCGGAGAAAAGCGGTGTTATTTGCAAGTTTGTTCTCCGGAATTAACAACAAAAGAAAAAAATAGAGTGGGAGAGTTTAGCTGATGCGGTTAACACAGTTGGGTCTGAACATCTCACTGAGTGAATTAAAAAAGAAATAGTGTGGTTTATATGTGAAAAATGTTGTATTACCCTTAACAGTCTCAGTGGCGCAGCTCGTAAGATGCATATCAACATGTTTTGACACTTTCGAGCATGAACTCGATTCGAATCCAGCGTCTGATGAACTCTTTCCTCTTTTTTCCCCCGCTACATATCAGATTTTGCCAACTATTTATCACGAGAAAGACAAGTAGGAATCATCAATAAGTTTGTGCATCATATTTTATTTGCACATTTATTGAATGGAAATGTTTCTGATTCATGCATGCAAATTCATCTTCAGATAGTGTCTTTATAGCAATGTGCGTGCAGTAGATTACTCAGATTACATTAGCGACCGCTGCAAATTGTGCTTTAATGTTTAGCTGGTCAACTGTATGGTATGGAAACCTTATATACCTGCTAGATGAACCCGTCTCATACAGCTGCCATTGCAAGGCTCAGACACTTTGTAGAGAGGAATTTAACACAACTGCCTCTAGGAGTCGCCAATGGAAATAAAACAGACACGCAGAAAAAATGTGCGTACGCCTGCCAGAAAGCTGCCGTGAAGCTGCGCACATTCCCACGTTCAGTTCATTGTTAGTAAATCCAAACGTGAGCGATTCTGAGCGTGATACCTGGCGTATGCAACGTTTTTGTGCGTACGCAGCGTTGATACATGAGGCCCCAGCAGTTTTACTTGCACAGACGTCATTACGCTGGCCTTATGATGTTTATTACACCATCCATTGGTGAGGCAGAGTGGAACAGGGACAAGCAAATGATGTGCTTCTCTCTTTTATAACTCTCCCCATCTCCTCTTCCTCAGGCACTTTGCTTTTTGGATTCTTCACCTTTTACTCCAAGTTTGATTTCCCTGCGTCAGTGGTGTCTCTGAGAGATGGCCATGCGCTGCCTATCACAGACTTCCTCAAAAGTGACATGGAGGCGTTAAAAACTGCAGATGCCTCTAGTCCCAAACCAAAGCGTTCTTCAGCTCCAAGACTGGGCCCTATGAATGTCCTTGATCCATTTGAGCTGAACCACAATGTGGCAGGAAACCTTAATGAGCGAACGCAGAAGAACTTCAAGAGGGAGTGCTGCGAGGCTGAGAAGTACTGTCGCAGTCTGCAGTACCAGCGCAAATCAGCCAAGGGCAAATCCTGGGGCCTCGTGCGACTCTTTGCACCGCAGAGTGAAGCTGCAGCCTCTTCACAGCCCAGAGCTGAGAAGGTTTTGGAGGTCAGCGTCCCTTTCAAGCCAGCCAGTCTCCCAGAATCCTTGCGTGCCCAGCTGGCTTCGGCTGGGAAGGATTTTCGGGGGCTCTGGTTTGCCGAGGTCTGCTCTGCTGTGCATAAGGTGTTTAATAAAATCTTACAGTGTTCACCCACAGAGGAGACTCAAAGTTTGGACAAAACCGATAAAAGTGGAAGTGAAATGGAGGTAAATAATAACAGGAGTCTAGAAGATACTAACATCCAAGTGAAAGGTGAGGCTGGTAAAAAGAGGCCTCTTTCAGTGGAGGAGGGTCCATCAACCTCCACCATTACACAAGCGAAAAGACAAAGACTAGATGTTGACCTGGAGCACCCAGAGCCACTCCACTGGACTTGGACTCAGAGGAGCCGTGTTTGGGCAGGCCGGCGGAAAGTGCGAAGAGATCTCTTGAAGACCAGCGATGAGGCATCCAAACCTGAAGGAGGCTGTGTGGATATGGAGAGCAGGGTGACGCAGAGCATTGTGGAGAAAGAGGAGAAACTTCACGATTCGTTGGAGTTCAAAGTGGACGCTGAGGTCGTTGGAGGGAATGAAAGCACTAAGGTTGTCCTCCGTTTCCACCCGAGCAATGATACTGCAGGCGTCTTTCAAGATTTCTTCCATTTTCTGGAGTCCTTCCTGCCTAAGATGGCAGAGACGATCATGGGCAGGGCAGAGGACATTACAGATATGTCGTAATTTAGTTTTTTGTTTGTTCAAAACTTAATTTGATTAAAATCTTTATAAACTTGTGATTTTTTATGTAAAGCTTAAAGATTGACTTTGTAAACCTTCTAAAAAAGATGTTCTGAGAATATGAGAATATGAGAACATACATGCTTTTGTTTTTGCATGTTTTGACTTCAGATTTGTTTCCTGTTTGAATTAGTTGACTTTTGTTTTATTCCTGATGATTTTGGCATGATTGCCTCTATAATGTGTATATAATTAATGTGAACACTCACATTAAAACTGACGGTTTGTATGATTGAGACCTGGGCTTTGGCTTTCTTTATAAAATTGGTCACATTTTCTTCTGAAAATGTATATACATAAAATATCACACTTTTTTTGTAGTTCAGTGGTTAATCTGTAACACTTGACAAATACAGCACCTTTAGATAATGTTAATGTGTTTTACACAAACAAGCGATGAACAATGCATTTAATACAGTATTCGTTCCTCTTCGTGAGCAATAATGAAAATACAGATATGTAGAAATACAGATTTCTATTTCTCGATTGAAAGTCAGTTTACTTTATATCAGGCATGTCCAAACTTGGTCCTGGAGGGCCGGTGTCCTGCAAAGTTTAGTTCCAACCCCAATCAGACACACCTGGGCTAGCTAATCAAGTTTTTACTAGGCTTTCTAGAAACATCCTTGCAGGTGTGTTGAGGCTAGTTGGAGCTAAAATCTGTAGGACACCGGCCCTCCAGGACCGAGTTTGGACACCCCTGCTTTAAATCGTCAAAACATTCAATAATAAGCCCAAAACTAAGCCATATAAATTAAGCAGATTAATACACAGAGAAAAACTCTTTTCTGTCCTAATATCTAAAGATTTTTTAAATCAAGAAGCAGGAAAAATATTGTCTTTAAGAAAGTTTCCCCTAAAGCACAGGTGTCAAACTCATTTCCAAAAGGGCCGCAGCCCTGCACAGTTTAGTTCCAACCCTAATCAAACACACCTGATCGAACTAATTGAGTCCTTCAGGCTTGTTTAAAACCTACAGGTAAGTGTGTTGGAGCAGGGTTGGAACTAAACTGTGCAGGGCTTCGGCCCTCTAGGAATTGAGTTTGACACCCCTGCCCTAAAGCAAACAAAGAAAAATTGTATTTGTATTGGCATTAGAATATTTTGCTTGTTTTAGGGAAAACCCTACTTAATTTTGGCTTATCATTACTTAAATAAGGCAAAATGTTGTCTAGAAATATATTTTATCTATGTACAGGTATGCTATATGTTGTCTAAATCAGGGGTGTCAAAACTCAGTCCTGGAGGGCTGGTGTCCTGGAGAGTTAATCTCCAACTTGCTTTAACACACCTGCCAAGAAGCTTCTAGTATATCTAGTAAGAGCTTGATTAGCTGGTTCAGGTGTGTTTGATTAGGGTTGGAGATAAACTCTCCTGAACACCGGCCCTCCAGGACTGAGTTTGGACACCCCTGGTCTAAATAGTATAGAAAATACTTCTTGATTTCCAATGACAAATTGGTTGATATTTGGTATAGAAACAAGACAAAAAAACCGTAAGTAAAAAAAGAAAAGCATTTTTTGCAGTGTATTCTAAAGAGACACAATTGCTGTGTTTGAACAAGTTAAAACAATTTTTATTCAGATATAAACATATGCTCAGTAAACAGAAACAGAAACACAGGCATACTCAACAAACCTTAGCTGTTCTTGTGAATAAATATGCTGCATGACATGCAAGAACGCGTCATATCAATCAGTGATATTTAATTTCAATGCAGTGAAGATCTTAAGCTAATGCTTATTTGTGCATAGACGTTTTATTTAAATCATATCTTTGACTATCAGAGGAGGAACATAAACCTCTCCAATTTAGTGAAAAATATCTTTGTGTCCTGGGTGTCACAGTGGCTCAGTGGTAAACACTGGCGCCTCGCAGCAAGAAGGTTCGAGCCCTGGCTGGGTCAGTTGGCATTTCTGTGTGGAGTTTGCATGCTCTCCCTGTGTTGGCGTGGGTTTCCTACGTGTGCACCAGTTTCACCCACAGGTGAACTGAATAAGCTAAAATGGCCATAGTGGGCAATTGTGTATGAGAGTGTATGGGTGTTTCCCAGTACTTGGTTGCGGCTGGAAGGGCATCCACAGCGTAAAACACTATTGATAAGTTGAAGGTTCATTCTGCTGTGGCGACCCCTGATAAATAATGAGACTAAGCCAAAGGAAAATGAATGAATGAACATCTTTGTGTTCTAAAGAATAATTTCTTAAGGGTTTGGAATGACATGAGGGTGAGTAAACGTACACTAATATTAAATATGCCAACAAGTAAAGTTTTTAGCCCTCCTGTGAATTTTTTTCAATATTATAGCTTTAATAAATAATTTCTAAAAAGTAATCTCTTTTTGCTTTGCCATATTTTACTGGTTATTTTGCAAGGTTAGTTCAGCTTAAAATACAATTTAAAGACTTAATGTTACCTGGTTGATTAGGCAAGTGATTGAACTACAGTGGATTGTTCTGTAGACAATTAAAACCTATTAATAACATAATAGTAAATAATATATAAATAATAACTTATTTATTTATTTAGTTTTAGGGGGTTAATGACCTAAACTATAATAAAAAAAAAACTGCTTTTATTCCAGTCAAACTTTTATTTACCAAACTATTATTTAAAAAATAATTTATCCTGTGCTTTAAGACATTACAGTGTGTGTGTCTCTGTGTGTGTATTCATATATATATATATATATATATATATATATATATATATATATATATATATATATATATATATATAGGAATGATGACACAGTTGTTGGGAGAAATCAATAACACCTCAAAAGTCTTCTGCGTCCTTTCCATGTTAATCTTCAACACCCGTTTTCCCATCAGCCTGATGTCCGTACGGTGGACGTTGTGGCCATAAGACATGATTAGAGTAAGAAACCTGTGAGGAATCTGAAATGAGAATTCAAAGGCATCTGCAGAGATAAATGACTGTAATTACACAACGAGGCATCCTCTGCTTCATTACAGCTGCTGTATGACACTGGAGAATTAGTCACAAACCAACAGCACACATCCTGCCTTATTTCATCTGATGCGCGTGCAGGAGTAATTAAGACAGATCAAATGGAGGCGCTGTAAGACACATTGGTTTTTCATTCTTATTATGGGAATAGAGTATGTGGGAGACAGGAGTGACTCAAACGTTTCTAAATTATTCATCGAATATGATTTCTTTTATTATTAAACGAGTGTGGGTGTTTAGTTCTATCAGATATATTGAGTTTTAAAGGATAAACTAACACGTTATATAATATATTGGGGGTTTTGAGCATGTTTTAGTAAATACATTATATTTCTTTTTTAATATATGTCAGATGATGTCATTAGTGACATCTGTGGATTGATTTGCTGTTGTTTGTTACATCAAAGGGTCCATTAACTGTGAAGACCATCTGTGTTTTAAGCTAGTTTAAGATCTATTTTAAAAAAAGAAAGTTTTTAGTGTTTACTGCCGTTTCAGGAATTTTGATAAGATGCCTTGAAGAATATCAAATTTTCAATACTATTTTCGATATCATAGGGTGCAAATTCTGCACTATTAAAAGTATGCAAATTAAGTTAAAAAGGGGAAAAACTACCAAACCATATAACGGTTATAACATCAGCACTTCTTTAATTGCCAAATACACACTAGAGTTTTTACAATACTGTAATTTCCAACTTCAATACGATACCTTGAAGAAAACTGATATTTGATAACATTTTCGATACCATGGGGAACAAATTCCACAACATAATTAGTATGCAAATGAGGTAAAAATGGAGGAATAACAAAATCATATAATGGTTATCAGGTACATCAAAAGTCCTTAAGTCCAAAAGACGTTAAATTACAAAAATTCGGCTTAGTCCCTTTATTTATCCGGGGTCGCCACAGCGGAATGAACTGCCAACCTATTCAGCGTTTGTTTTACGCAGCGTATGCCCTTCAAGCTGCAACCCATCACTGGGAAACATCCATACACTCTGGACAGTTTTATCTTACCCAATTCACCTATACCGCATGTTTTTGGTCTTGTGGGGCAAACCAGAGCACCTGGACGAAACCCACACAAACAAGGGGAGAACATGCAAATTCCACACAGAAACACCAACTGACCCAGCCGGGAAACCTTAGGGTGCTTTCACACCTAGACTTTTGTTTCGGAACTTGTCTCGTTTGCCCCGTTAGCGTGGTTCGTTTGGCATATGTGAATCCACCAATGGCGCTCGGATCCGCCCTAAAAAATCGCTCCGAGATTGAATGAGGTGGTTTTGGCTCGATTGAAACAAACTCTGGAGCAGATCGATTGCAGTGAGAAAGCGATACTATCTGAGCCCGGTTATATCACAGTTTTATGGATATGTAATAGAAGATAGAATTATGAGTAGGGCGGGAGGTCATTACAGACATCCCAAATCTCCCGGAAGTTTCAGGAGTCTCCCGCAAATGCACAGAGACTCCCAGATGCCTGCAAACGAGTGATAATCTCCTGGAAATTGCGCGTCTACCTCACCGGTCCTCAAATACGTCGAGCACCCTTCTCACCCCTCCTCACCGCATCCCTCCTCGCTCTTCAGACACGTCGCACACACCTTGTCAAACACCACCCTGACAGCTGAGCAAAATAAACCATGAAACTATGACCAATGTAAGGAGAGTTTACTCACATGTGACTTGTTTTAGCTGTTTGGTCCGATTAGAAAGTGTGAAACCAAACCGCACCAAGAGCAAAGAGCAACAATGTAACAATTTTAATCTCTTTTTCGGAACAACTGAATAGATTCACAGGTGTGAAAGCACCCTAAATATTATTATTAAATATTCATCTCCCTGCTTATAAGAAGAGAGAGTGCAAGAGAGTAAAGCCAGTATTGAAACTAAACAACAGCAAGATTGATTCATTTTAAATATTTCAGTATCGATAATTATCAATATAATGATATTTTTGACAATATACATATTTAATTTAATATCTTGATGTTAAATACAGTACACAAAATACAAACATAGTGCAGACATAAATATACAATGCATTATAACAGTAGTAATTAAATACAGAGAAAAAGAAAATGTCCACAGACAAAACTGTGAATGTGCATATGTGGTATTTCCGGATAAACAGTACTGCAGTTTGTTATGTATTTGCTCTTATTTGTTGCATCTGAGGGTCCATTACCCATGAAGACCATCTGTGTTTTAAGGTGGTTTCAGATCTAGTTTTCTAAATTCTGCAACATCACAG